TGTGATGAACAATAGACGCAATCGCCACGTGTGTGATGAACAATAGACGCAATCGCCACGTGTGTGATGAACAATAGACGCAATCGCCACGTGTGTGATGAACAATAGACGCAATCGCCACGTGTGTGATGAACAATAGACGCAATCGCCACGTGTGTGATGAACAATAGACGCAATCGCCACGTGTGTGATGAACAATAGACGCAATCGCCACGTGTGTGATGAACAATAGACGCAATCGCCACGTGTGTGATGAACAATAGAAGCAATCGCCACGTGTGTGATGAACAATAGACGCAATCGCCACGTGTGTGATGAACAATAGACGCAATCGCCACGTGTGTGATGAACAATAGACGCAATCGCCACGTGTGTGATGAACAATAGACGCAATCGCCACGTGTGTGATGAACAATAGACGCAATCGCCACGTGTGTGATGAACAATAGACGGAATCGCCACGTGTGTGATGAACAATAGAAGCAATCGCCACGTGTGTGATGAACAATAGACGCAATCGCCACGTGTGTGTTGAACAATAGAAGTAATCGCCACGTGTGTGATGAACAATAGACGCAATCGCCACGTGTGTGATGAACAATAGACGCAATCGCCACGTGTGTGATGGACAATAGACGCAATCGCCACGTGTGTTGAACAATAGAAGCAATCAGGACACCATTCCCCTCTTGTGTCGTGTACACGTTGTGTACACACAGGTGTACAGTACAACACACCTGTAAACATGTTAAATCAGCTGCTACAGTATAAATGCTGACAGTATGTGGGCTGTAGAACACTACTGTATTGCACATATCGCAGCACGTTATAATAAAAAAAGTGCATTACAGAAGCTTCTCTCACTGCGGTACATGACACTAATATCGCTCGTTAATAATTCACAAACCCTTTTTTATTCACTTTTGGATGAAGGCCTCCCCACGCGTCATCGTCAGTCGACACGTAATAACAGAAGCGAGTAATCATTCGCTAAGTGCTTGTGCCAGGCGAGGTGCACCAAGTGTATACAATACACGTGGCACACGGTGTACACGTGTGTAGAGAATAGCCATGTGTACACGTGCTTACACGACACACCACAAATACAGTACACATGAATGCAGTACATCACACATACAGTAGCACTGTACAGTACACCGGGAATACAGTACACCACATGGCGGTACAGTCTGCAGTTGCTGTGCCCCATCGATTAATCGTTACAGTATAGAGCGCGGACAGTAGAGACTCCGCAGAGTATGGATTTACACTGCACACATATATACTGTACACAATGTACAGTATACTCAAACTAATGGAAATGTACGGTATACAATACACAACACAGTCAACACGGTACACGCATAGTATGTACTGCATGCTGTACACAACACAGTGAACACACAGTGAACACACATACCGTTTACACAAAACAGTTGAACAGAGTCCACACACGTTACATACACAACATTTATTGTAGTGCACACAGCACACAATTGGTACACACGGTACACCGACATTTAAACATTACACACACAGCACAGCGTGTGTGTAACGCATCACACAGCACACACACACACGCGGACAGTACACTACAGTGACTATAAAACACACACAGCAGTCCACATACAACACAGTACAGACGCTATACTGTACATCAAATACACAATACGGTGTACACACCGAGAACACAGGCACCACACCAACTATACACAGTGCCTACACATTTCATACAATGCAGTACACATACCGAGTACACACATACAACACACACGCAAACAGTACTCGCATTATTATACAACGCAAACCACATCGCACAAACAATACAACACAACATGCGCTCTCCCATTAGGGTAAGAGTACCTATCACACACACACACTGTCCTCTCTCCCATTAGGATAACACAATACATAGCACACACACACGGTACACACAGCACACACACACACACACGGTACACACAGCACACACACACACGGTACACACAGCACACACACACACGGTACACACAGCACACACACACGGAACACACAGCACACACACACAGTACACACAGTACACACAGCACACACACACACGGTACACACAGCACACACACACACACGCGATACACACAGCCCACACACACGCGATACACAGCACACACACACGCGATACACAGCACACACACACGGTACACACAGCACACACACACGGTACACACAGCACACACACAGTAAAACACAGCACACACACACAGTACACACAGCACACACACACACACGGTACACACAGCACACACACACGCGATACACACAGCCCACACACACGCGATACACAGCACACACACACGGTACACACAGCACACACACACACACGGTACACACAGCACACACACACACACGGTACACACAGCACACACACACACGGTACACACAGCACACACACACACACGGTACACACAGCACACACACACACACGGTACACACAGCACACACACGGTACACACAGCACACACACGGTACACACAGCACACACACACGGTACACACAGCACACACACACGCGATACACACAGCCCACACACACGCGATACACACAGCCCACACACACGGTACACACAGCACACACACACGGTACACACAGCACACACACACGGTACACACAGCACACACACACGGTACACACAGCACACACACACACGGTACACACAGCACACACACACACACGGTACACACAGCACACACACACACACACGGTACACACAGCACACACACACGGAACACACAGCACACACACACGCGATACACACAGCACACACACACACGGTACACACAGCACACACACACGGTACACACAGCACACACACGGTACACACAGCACACACACACACACGGTACACACAGCACACACACACACGGTACACACAGCACACACACACGGTACACACAGCACACACACGGTACACACAGCGCACACACACACGCGCGATACACACAGCCCACACACACGGTACACACAGCACACACACACGGTACACACAGCACACACACACACGGTACACACAGCACACACACACACGGTACACACAGCACACACACACGGTACACACAGCACACACACACGGTACACACAGCACACACACGGTACACACAGCCCACACACACGGTACACACAGCACACACACACACGGTACACATAGCACACACACGCGGTACACACAGCACACACGCAAACGGTACACACAGCACACGCACACGGTACACACAGCACACACACGGTACACACAGCACACACACACGCGATACGCACAGCACACACACACACGGTACACACAGCACACACACACGGTACACACAGCACACACACACGGTACACACAGCATACACACACGCGGTACACACAGCATACACACACGCGATACACACAGCATACACACACACGCGATACACACAGCACACACACGCGGTACACACAGCACACACACGCGGTACACACAGCATACACACGCGGTACACACAGCATACACACACACGCGATACACACAGCACACACACACGCGATACACACAGCACACACACACACGCGGTAGACACAGCACACACACACGCGGTACACACAGCACACACAGCACACACACACGGTACACACAGCACACACACACGGTACACACAGCACACACACACGGTACACACAGCACACACACACGGTACACACAGCACACACACACACGGTACACACAGCACACACACACACGGTACACACAGCACACACACACACGGTACACACAGCACACACACACACGGTACACACAGCACACACACACGCGGTACACACAGCACACATACACACGGTACACACAGCACACACACGGTACACACAGCACACACACGGTACACACAGCACACACACACGCGATACGCACAGCACACACACACGGTACACACAGCACACACACACGGTACACACAGCACACACACGCGGTACACACAGCATACACACACGCGGTACACACAGCATACACACACGCGATACACACAGCATACACACACACGCGATACACACAGCACACACACACACGCGGTACACACAGCACACACACGCGGTACACACAGCATACACACGCGGTACACACAGCATACACACACACGCGATACACACAGCACACACACACGCGATACACACAGCACACACACACACGCGGTAGACACAGCACACACACACGCGGTACACACAGCACACACAGCACACACACACGGTACACACAGCACACACACACGGTACACACAGCACACACACACGGTACACACAGCACACACACACGGTACACACAGCACACACACACACGGTACACACAGCACACACACACACGGTACACACAGCACACACACACGCGGTACACACAGCACACATACACACGGTACACACAGCACACACACACGGTACACACAGCACACACACGGTACACACAGCACACACACACAGCACACACACACGCGGTACACACAGCACACACACACACGGTACACACAGCACACACACACACGGTATACACAGCACACACACACACGGTACACACAGCACACACACACACGGTACACACAGCACACACACACAGTACACGCAGCACACACACACACGGTACACACGGCACACACACACGGTACACACAGCACACACACACACACGGTACACACAGCACACACACGGTACACACAGCACACAGACACACGATACACACAGCACACACACACACGATACACACAGCACACACACACACACGATACACACAGCACACACACACGGTAGACAGCACACACACACACGGTAGACACAGCACACACACACGGTAGACACAGCACACACACACGATACGCACAGCACACACACACGGTAGACACAGCACACACACACGGCACCACACGGTCCTCTGTCTCCATGAGGATAGCCACACAACAATAAAGCGACCACCGCTCCGTGCCGCACGCAGCACGGCTGCTGTGCACGGCTGCTGTACTCACCCCGCTGCTGTCCGTGCTGCTGCTGCTGCTGTCCGTGCTGCTGTCCGTGCTGCTGCTGCTGTTTGTGCTGCTGCTGCTGTTTGTGCTGCTGTCCGTGTTGCTGCTGCTGCTGTCCGTGCTGTTGCTGCTTCTGCTGCTGCCCGTGCTGCTGTCCGTGCTGCTGCTGCAGGCCGCGGTGGTGGTGAGTACACGTGGTGGTGGTGGTGAGTACACGTGGTGGTGGTGGTGAGTACACGTGGTGGTGGTGGTGAGTACACGTGGTGGTGGTGGTGGGGAGGTTAAGTCCCTACCCAAACGCGCACACACGCCGAGGTTGTCGTTGTTGTTACGTCCGCACTTCTGACTGAATGGACATGTCAAGAGGGCAGTGCTGGGCAAGCGGTAGGGGCTGGGGGCAGGGCTGGGGGTAGACGAGAAGGGCAAAGCGGGGAAGAGACGGGGACAGGGAGGGGACAGGGAGGGGGCAGGCCGGAGCCGAGGAGAGCAGCAGCGTCTGTTCCGCTTTGAACGAGAGCGCGCGTGTGCGTGTGTGTGTCTCGGCGTGTGTATGTGTCGGCGTGTGTGTGTGTCTCGGCGTGTGTCTCGGCGTGTGTGTCGGCGTGTGTGTGTGTGTGTGTCGGCCTGTGTGTGTGTCGGCCTGTGTGTGTGTCGGCGTGTGTGTGTGTCGGCGTGTGTGTGTGTCGGCGTGTGTGTGTGTCGGCGTGTGTGTGTGTCGGCGTGTGTGTGTGTCGGTGTGTGTGTGGGGAGCGGTAGCGTAGTGGTTAGTGCGCTACGAACCCGGCGACCCGAGTTCGATTCCCGCTCACGGCAATCGCCAGAGACGAATATCTTGAACCAGTTCTGGTCCTCTCCTAGGTCGACTCAGCCTTAAGTGAGTACCTGGTGTGATGTGTAAAAATCTCCACTCGGGAGACAAAGGCGGTCGGGCGTTATATTGATCACCCCCCCCCCCCCCCTTCGTGTGCCGTGACAGCCTTCAAAGGTGCTACTCGCTAACAGCACTTGCCCCAAAATAAAGTTAACGCGTGTGTCACTGTGTGTCACTGTGTCACAGTCTCTGTGTCACTGTGTGTCACAGTCTCTCTGTGTCACTGTGTGTCACTGTGTGTCACAGTCTCTCTGTGTCACTGTGTAAATGTGTGTCACAGTCTCACTGTGTGTCACTGTGTCACTGTGTGTGTGTCACAGTCTCTCTGTGTGTCACTCTGTATTACTGTTTCACAGTCTCTCTGTGTCACCGTGTATCACTGTGTGTGTCACTGTGTGTCACTGTCTCTCTGTGTCACTGTGTCAATGTGTGTCACAGTCTCACTGTGTGTCACTGTGTCACTGTGTGTGTGTGTCACTGTGTGTCAGTCTCTCTGTGTCACTCTTTATCACTGTGTGTCAAAGTCTCTCTGTGTATCACTGTGTCACTGTGTGTCACTGTGTGTCACTGTGTGTCACAGTCTCACTGTGTGTCACTGTGTCACTGTGCGTGTCACTGTGTATCACTGTGTGTCACAGTCTCTCTGTGTCACTGTGTCAATGTGTGTCAGTCTCACTGTGTGTCACTGTGTCAGTGTGTGTGTGTCACAGTCTCTCTGTGTGTCACTCTGTATTACTGTTTCACAGTCTTTCTGTGTCACTGTGTCACTGTGTCACTGTGTGTCACTGTGTGTGTCACTGTGTGTGTCACTATGTGTCACTGTCTCTCTGTGTCACTATGTGTCACTGTCTCTCTGTGTCACTGTGTCAATGTGTGTCACAGTCTCACTGTGTGTCACTGTGTCACTGTGTGTGTCACTGTGTGTCAGTCTCTCTGTGTCACTCTTTATCACTGTGTCAGTCTCTCTGTGTATCACTGTGTCACTGTGTGTCACAGTCTCTCTGTGTGTCACTATCAGTGTCACTGTGTGTCACTATGTGTGTCACTGTGTCACTATGTGTGTGTCACTGTGTGTCACAGTCTCTCTGTGTGTCACTGTGTGTCAGTCTCTCTGTGTGTCACTGTGTGTCACAGTCTCTGTGTGTCACTGTGTTAGTCTCTCTGTGTCACTGTGTGTCACTGTGTGTCAGTCTCACTGTGTCACAGTCTCACTGTGTGTCACTGTGTGTGTGTCATTGTGTGTCACTGTGTCACAGTCTCTCTGCGTGTCACTGTGTGTCACTGTGTGTGTGTCACTGTGTGTGTCACTGTGTGTCAGTCTCTGTGTCAGTGTGTATCACAGTCTCTGTGTGTCACTGTCACTGTGTGTCACAGTCTGTGTGTCACTGTGTGTCACTGTGTCACAGTCTCTCTGTGTGTCACAGTCTCTCTGTGTCTCTCTGTGTCACTGTGTGTCAGTCTCTCTGTGTGTCACTGTGTGTCATAATCTCTCTGTCTGTGTGTCACTGTGTGTCAGTCTCTCTGTGTCACTGTGTGTCACTATGTGCGTCTAGGATCTTTGTCGTTGGGAGCGGTGGTGCAGCGGTTAGCACTGCGCTGCGCTACGAACCCGGCAGAGACCCGAGATCGATTCCCGCTCACGGCCAACACCGGTGACGATTATCGGAACCGGTCCTGGGCCTCCCCTAGGTCGACTCAGCCTCAAATGAGTACCTGGTGAGATGTGTCAACATCGCCACTGGGGAGACAAAGGCGGCCCGGCGTGGTGCTGGCCACCCAGCCCCTTATGTGGCGTGCCGGTCTTCATAGGTGCTCGCTGACAGCACTTGCCCCGTCAGACTGTTAAGGCTATACGGGGGATCTTTGTCTCGTGTAGGAGGCTCATTGTCTCGTGTAAGGAGTGAGAATACCTGGGTATGTGTGTCAGTGTGGGTATGAGAGTGTGTCACCGTGTGTGTAAGTCGGTGTGTGCGTGACACCAGCGGTGTCAAGATCGCTGTCGAGATGGAGGCAGTCGCCCTCCAGCAACAACAACGGAGGGCAGAGGAGCCACGCTCACAACAACGAGCGGAACGCCGGGCGGATAAAACGCAGAGTTGGCAGAGTGGGGAGCACTGGTGGTGCAATCTGCCAGTCATCTCGGTCAGTCAACCTCAGGTTTGTTCCGCGACATCCTGCCAGCAGCGAGCCCTTCCACACTTCACGTGGCATGAAAGTGAACCTGGCCTGGCACAGGCGCTGCCGTGACGTCACTTAATGCTTCTTGTTGTTGTGAGAGTTTTGGCGTTGCGTGAATGCATTTGCAGCTCAAACAACAACCGCGCGATCTGAACGGCACAATGTTGGCCAAATCCCCCAGCGTTGATGGTCCACCTGCAGACGACTCACCTGGGATCACAGCATCGCCCACCCCACTTCTACCTGGAGCACCACGTGGCAGGACCCTCCTGGCAAAGAGTGTGTGGGTATACACGTGTGTGTACAGTGTGTGTATACAGTGTGTGGGTGTACACGTGTGTGCACACCTATTCAAGGCACCACTTTGTCTGATGCCCAATTTGTGCTCGCCCCCTGGCGGACTGAATGTGAAAACACTGATGGAAAGTGACCCCCGACTGGAGCCACAGCCACACCAAAGTCTGTGCGCCCTCTCACAGTAAGTGTAAATTCCATACTCATAAGGCAGAGACGAGTTTTTACAAAGGACACACACTGTTGACCTCTCACGAAGTCGTTTTATCGACGCTGCGGAGATGATAGGCCGAGGTAACGCCTGACCGCGAGAATTGAACTGTCCACCTGACGATTGTGACGTGGTCACCCGTGTCAATCGCTAACGGATCAATTCGGGTGCACTTTTTAAGGAGGGGGTTACTTAATCATCATGGTCATCATCAGCCATGATCTATCCACTGCCGGATGCAGGCTCCTCAAGCCGTCGGCATCTCTCGCGGTCTCGCAAAGAAAATATTCCATCTGGCTCCTGCACAAGCGCTCGATCCCATTGCTCCATCCGCGGGAGAGACGCGTTCCTCGCCACGAGCCTCGCCACGAGCCTCGCCACGAGCCTCGCCGCGAGCCTCGCCACGAGCCTCGCCACCGTGCCGTGTACAAATATTAAACGCGTGAAGGTGAGAATGTCCCGCGGTATCCCAGCAAGGAGGACAACGATACAAGCCGATGTGTGTTTTATTTAGAGAACTACTTGTCACTTTGTCACGATTATTAGATACAGTAAGTGTATACGCTAATATTAAATAAGTTACATCTTCATGATCAAGCTTTTTACATTATGTATAAAATACCAAGCTCACATTTACATGTTTTAAAATGAATTTTTACACTAATGCTTACGTTTCAGAGCATTGACACATTCGGTACTAAACTCACATTTGATGGAACCCTCCGCACCACTCCCGTCGACTCCGCTCACGTTATCCATAAAACACCGCGCTTCACGTGCGCCATCGAGACCACTGCGCGTTATAAATAGTTCGCTGCCATTCCACCAGAGTGCCATTGTGTCCGACAATCCACTCCCAGTGAGATTGACATTCCTTCCGGATCTGCCAAACGCAGCAAAAAACATTCAACTGAACAAAAGCAAACATAAGTCAACCAAAAACACGAACTTATTTTGATACATAATACATTTCTTTTGGAATAGATCGTGTGGATATGTCAATATCTAACTATAACCCTTCAGTACCTGACAGCCAATCAAATCAACTTCTCACGTGGGCAAAATATACCAATTGATTTTATTTTTCAGCTGACCGGAATTTTGAAAAGCGAGCAAAATTTTGACGAGATTTTATTTTGTCTGGTAGATATATTCCTTGGCTGTGTGTCCATGGCTGTCAAACACGAGTGTGTATCGTTGTTAATGGGAGGAATGTGCTTCAACGTTAAGTCAAGCGTGTTGACGTAGCGTACTCTGGCAGCGATGTCACACATCGGGAGCTCACATTCTCTTCTGCTGCTCTGCTCCCAACAACGTTTGGAACTCCCCGATCCAGCGACTCAAGACCTTCTTCCTCTTCTGCCTATATCTACTGTTTTTTGTACAGCGTCTTGAGATGCGGTCATATTTTCGGGAGCTATATGAATCTACATTGTGTTGCATTGCTGCAGACTATAAAAATGTACTGGAGTGACATAATTCGCGATATATCTTTGCTTCACTACTAAGATTCAAACTCGTGCTGCAGAGCCTGGGACACACAGACTAGGTACATGTCTACTACAAGAGATGAGAACGGTCGTATGTTTTTTGAGGTTCAGTCTCTCCTTAAAAAAAGGTATTCTCAATACTTAAGGTTGGTCGAATTGCTCATCGTAAACCTTTACTTTTATCAAACATCGCAAAATGTGCAGTGATGGCCACGGGATTATCTTGCTTCGAATAAAGAGCACAGTCCTCGGGGCAGTGCATTTGTTTTGTTTCTGCTTTTGTTACCGTGGTGACCCAGGTCACCCTTGCAAATGAGACTTTGGAGTTCTCACCCAAGTGACACGAAATAAACTCGAACTTGAACTCGCCCTACCTTTGCAAAAAGCTTGCACAGAATTCTGTAAGCAGTTCAACTAAAGCAGGATCCCGGCAGCAGGGGTCCATCTGCGGTTGACATCGACCAACCGAAGATTCCAAGCTGCCACCCATCTCCTCCCCCCGTCATTTTGAGGAATGCGTCTTCTTGTGGTAGTTGAGTCCCGCGTACTGCGAGAACCCACGGCCGCAAACGGGACACACGAAGGGCTTTTCGCCCGTGTGCATGCGCATGTGCTGCGTTAGGTACGAGGCTCGCGCGAACGCCTTCCCGCACTGCTGGCAGGCGTGCGGCTTCACGCCGCTGTGCACCGTGCGGTGGCGGGCCAGGTGCGACGTGTGGGAAAACGCCACGCCGCACTTGTTGCACACGTGCGGCTTCTCGCCCGTGTGGATGCGGCGGTGCTGCCCCAGGTAGGCCGAGTTGGCGAAGGCCTTGCCGCACACCTCGCAGATGTACGGCTTCTCGTCCGAGTGCGACTTGCGATGCAGCGACATGGACGAGTACTGGGTGAAGCGCTTCCCGCACACGCCACACGCGTACGGCCGCTCGCCCGTGTGCGTCCGTCGGTGGATGTAGAGGTAGGCCGAGCGCGAGAACGTCTTGCCGCACTCGTCGCACATGTAGGGCTTCTCGCCCGTGTGCTTCAGCTTGTGAAACTTGAGCGACAGCGAGTAGTTGAACTTCTCCCCACACACGTCGCAGGCGTAGGGCATGTCGCCCGTGTGGATGCGCATGTGCTGCGCCAGGTACGACGACTGGGCGAAGCTCTTGCCGCACTGCAGGCACAGGAACGGCTTCTCGCCGTTGTGCTTCCGCATGTGCTTGGTGAACGCCGACGACTGCATGAACGCGCGGCCGCACACCGCGCACTTGAACGGCTGCTGCTGCTGCTCCCCGTGCATCCCCTTGTGGTGGTTGAAGTAGTTCAGCGTCTTGAAGCCCTTGCCGCACTGCTCGCAGCTGTACGGCTTCTCCTTGGCTTTGCCGGCTCGCGACGCTCGGGTTTTGGCGCGCCGCTTCTTCCCACCTTTCCTCTTGCTCTCGTCGAGCACGCCGCTCGCCGCTTCCCGCGACTCGTCCCGGTCGGTCGGTTGCGGCGCCCCCTCCTCTTCGGGCGGAACCTTGTCGTTAGCGTCGCCAGTGCCTTCCTGGGCCGGGTCGGGTGGAGGGGCAGCTTCCCCCCGCTCCGGGGCATCTCCGCTCGGCAACCGGCGCTCGGTCGAGCTCTCCCTGGACGAGCAGTCCCTCGCCGATGACGACGAGGAAGAGGTGGAGTCCTCGGCTGAGGAGGGGGCTGCCGGGGACGGGACTACCGGGGACGTGCTCGAAGCGACGGCCGCCGCGGTCACCGCCGCTTCGCCAGAGTCGCTCTCGGCGTCGGAATTGGAGTCATCTGCTGCATCTCCTGGGCTCCAGCAGTCTAAACAGAAGCCGAGCAGAAGCAGAGCACAGCGACACAACGTTCAAGTGGCGGGGGGGGGGGGGGGGGCGACGTGCTCTGCCAAGCATTGCGGTGGAGTAGAATGCAAGTGAGTGGAAGAATACACTGGTAGGGCCCAGCAAAAAACTATTTGCCTGGTGGAGTAAAACACATCATTGAACATCTCTTCTAGCCCATTTTGCAAGCATAGCAGAGTTGGCCAAATACCCCCTTATATTGGTACAAGCCTCACGTAAAATGTCACATTTCCTTTCGTTCCTGATGGCGTTATAGCTTTGAAAGGTGTGTTCGGGCGGTACCGCGTGTTTTGAATGCTGTCCAACGTTTCGCTCCACGTGCCGGAACCGAATTAATTCCGAATCGATCTTCAAGAAGCTCCCAGCACGCGAAGCGAATCGTCCGACGTCGTGAGAACTGTGCGGCACAACCGCGGAAGCCTGCGCGGCGGTGTGACCGAGAGAGCTCCGCCGGTCCCTCTCACCCTCGCAACTCCGCTGCTCCTCGTTATCGTCACCCTGCCCGGCCTCTTCGTCCTCTTCCTCCTCGTCCTCCTCCTGCTTGATGGCTCTGAGAAGCTGCTTGAGTCCGCTGACGCGCTCGGCGCGGTAGCGCGCCGGTGGGGCGCTCGTCGCTGCACCCCTCAGGGGTTCGCTCCTCGAAGTGCCGGCCATGTCCTGCTGGCAACACCACCATCGATGTCCTTCATTTACTCAGGAAAGCCTCTGTGGCCACACATCCTGGACATCGGGATGTTTAGCCATTTCCACTAATGGGTATTTGGCTGCGTGTGGGAGGAAACCGCAGCGCCTAGAGGAAGCCAGCTTCACACAGGAAGGAATCACAAAGTTCGCCCTCGGTCCACAGCAATGGGGACACGAACCCCACTGACTGCACTGCCGCCGCCGCCGCCGCCTTCTCCTGCCCACCTTACAGCCGAAGAAGAATGTTGATCAAGTGACCAGTGTAAGTTCCTGTATGTTGAACTTCACCGTGCGTATCCAACAGTCCTGATCGGAGGTGCGAGAGGAGGGCAACAACAACAATGAATGAACGCGTTCCTATTGATTACCACACTATACTCGTTCCGCGTTTGCATCTCACAAGCGCGAGGCCGCGCGTTCAAATGGCACGGGCGGTGAAGTTGACGAAGCCTCCCCATTAATCTGGGCTCCGTCAAATCGGTACCACTCTGTGGAAAGCAACTCGACTATTGCCTGGTGGACAGACCGGCCCCTGCCATAGCAAGATGTAATTCCCGGCAAGTTGTGTGTTTATCGTTCATGCCGAGTTTAAATCATCAACAGACATGACTGTGCGTCTATGTGCAGCCTTGTCCACATTTTAAATACGTTGTCCGTGACCCCTTTTTACAAGTGAGAATTTTACCAAGCCCAAGTTAAAGTGTCACCTTGCCATCATATTCAGTCGGTGGGTGATGATTACGCATCGCAGGATCACTGGAGGTGGTTGGCGCCAGTGAATTGACCACGCGGCTGCTGCTGCTGCCTTGGAAGATAAGGAAACCTCCTTTCGACATTCGCCCTCGTTGAGACAGCGGTCACATCGTGGGTAGAACGCAGACCCGGGGGCCACAACTGTGCAGGGCCCTCCCCGGTAAACACGACAACGGGCAACGTTGACTGAACGTTGGGACAACGTTGCCCGAACGTTGGGGCAACGTTGACCGAACGTTGGGGCAACGTTGACCGAACGTTGGGGCAACGTTGACCGAACGTTGGGGCAACGTTGACCGAACGTTGGGGCAACGTTGACCGAACGTTGGGGCAACGTTGACCGAACGTTGGGGCAACGTTGACCGAACGTTGGGGCAACGTCGGCAATGTTTCCGGGGGCTCACCTGGTCACAACTCGGGAGGCCGTGGTGGAAACCTGGTGGGGGGGGTGGTCGGGGAGACGCGAGGTCCTGGCCTTCTGCTGCTCCTGCTGTTGCCCCTAGGCCCGTGGCGTCTTCTCTACGGGACCGGGGAGACCACGGCCAGCTGCGCGGGGAGACGGAGAGAGAGGGAGATGGTGGTAGAGAGCGAGAGGGAGGAGGAGGAAGGAGGATGATGAGCGAGGTTGTTGATGTAAGAGAGCGATGGGGAGAGAGGGGCAGGTGGTGACGCGAGGCGGAAAGACCCCGACGCGACCCGGCAGTGATGGGGCGGGACGGGGACGGGGAGGAGGAGACACGCGGCCCGGCTGACATCACAGGGCCATCATCATCATCATCACGACCGATATCAGCATCATCACACAACCCTCATCACTACCGATATCGCCACTGCGCTTACTTAACATCGTTTCATCATCAACAACATCACCATCGCTTCATTGTGACTGAGCTGACCGCATCATCTCTGAGCCGGTAGTCCAGTCGACTTGCACACAGTTCTAGACGTGCTGTGTACAATTCCGCGTGGTTCTCACCGATTCCCACTTGTAAACTAAGATATTGAAATCATCACTTCAGTCGGAGTACAGAACGGTTTTACGACATCGCAAAAGTCGGCCCGAGTTGGCGACTTAAGTTAACGCGGAGTGGCGATAACGAAGGGGAAGATTGGGACGCCGTGACACCCGTGCGTGAAGTGGTGACGATCTTCATTCAGCTAGCTGCTGCCTGGACCTCGCTTGCGTCCCCCCGACCCTCTGTAAGGGGTCACCTGGGGACACCTGGAGTCACCTGGGGTCACCTGGGGACACCTGGGCCCCCCCCCAGGTACGAGCGTTGTCGGCTGCGAAGTCTCTCCCACTGATTGCTGCTTTCACGTTGGGCCCCATGCGACCGGCACGCTACGTGGGGCCGTCCTTGTTTTATCCGACTCAGAATGTGTGTGCAGTGACCTGCAGTGTGGTTAGTGGGTGAGTGTGTTGTTGTGACCTGCAGTGTGGTGAGTGGGTGAGTGTGTTGTTGTGACCTGCAGTGTGGTGAGTGGGTGAGTGTGTTGTTGTGACCTGCAGTGTGGTGAGTGGGTGAGTGTGTTGTTGTGACCTGCAGTGTGGTGAGTGGGTGTGTTGTTGTTGTGCAGTGTGGTGAGTGGGTGAGTGTGTTGTTGTGACCTGCAGTGTGGTGAGTGGGTGAGTGCTGTGACCTGCAGTGTGGTGAGTGGGTGAGTGTGTTGTTGTGTCCTGCAGTGTGGTGAGTGGGTGAGTGTGTTGTTGTGACCTGCAGTGTGGTGAGTGGGTGAGTGTGTTGTTGTGACCTGCAGTGTGGTGAGTGGGTGAGTGCTGTGACCTGCAGTGTGGTGAGTGGGTATGTTGTTGTTGTGCAGTGTGGTGAGTGGGTAAGTGTGTTGTTGTGACCTGCAGTGTGGTGAGTGGGTGAGTGTGTTGTTGTGACCTGCGGTGTGGTGAGTGGGTGAGTGTGTTGTTGTGACCTGCAGTGTGGTGAGTGGGTGAGTGTGTTGTTGTGACCTGCAGTGTGTTGAGTGGGTGAGTGTGTTGTTGTGACCTGTAGTGTGGTTGGTGGGTGAGTGTGTTGTTGTGACCTGCAGTGTGGTGAGTGATTGAATGAGTGTGTTGCTGTGGGGAGCGATAGTGTAGCGGTTAGCGTGCTGCGCTATGAACCTGGAGACCCGGGTTCGATTCCCGCTCACGGCCAACACCAGTGACGATTATCTGAACCGGTCCCGGGCCTCCCCTAGGTTGACTCAGCCTCAAATGAGTACCTGGTTCGGAGTGTAAACATTGCCACTAGGGAGACAAAGGCGGTCGGGCGTGGTGCTGGCCACCCACCCCCTAGTGTACCGTTCTGGCTTTCATAGGTGCTCGCTAACAGCACTTGCCCCTACAGTCTGTTAAGGCTATACGGGGGATCTTTGTCTTTGTGTTGCTGTGACCTGCAGTGTGGTGGTTGGACACGGTGCTGATGTGATGGAACAGCCGGTGTGGTAGCCCAAGGTTGCCGCTGACTCAAGCTGGTGCTGTCTCGTTCCTGTCGCCGCAGGATGATGAACGAGATGAACCTCAACGTTCCGGGGATGGAGCCGATGGGAGGTGGTGGAGGCGGGGGGTCTCACCTTGGCCTGGCCTCGCCGTCGCACAGCTCCATCACGCCCACGGGTGAGAGCTTCCAGGCCTCGATACTCGACGTGATTTGTGGTTCAGTCGCAGTGGCCAGCCTCGCTGAGGGCAGAGACACTGTGCAGTGATCGCGCGTCACAGCAGTGAGCTGCTCGTGGTGGTGGTTGGTCGAAGTTCACTGGACTCTTCGATGTGGTTCTCGCTGTCGGTCACGCTCTTTTACGGGAAAGTAACGCAGAAAGTCATTCAAAACCTTAAATTTTAACCCATTATCATCAGCCATGATCTATTTACTGCTCGATGAAGGCCTCCGAGCATTTTTGTCTCTCAGTGTCTCTTGACGCAACAATTTGACAAACTTCTCCGCACGATTTGATTTCTTTGCTCCAGGCATGTTCCCTCCACTCCACCGTTAGCCTCAACCATCGGCCACCGTCCGGTGATGTATCCTGGCCCACTTTTCTTAACCGTCCAGAAGGCATCTCTAGCTTGCGTACGTTCTCTAATCCATGCGTTCCTTTTCCGAGCTTCTTTTGCCCACTTTCGGTGGCGGTGTTTCCAATCCGTATGTCACATTCAATGCAGCGATTCATTGTTGTACGCCTACTTTGAAAAGCCCCACTTCAGTGAAAGCGTGTGGTGTGGTGACAAGATCTGATGACGGGTCGTCGGTTACGCCGTGCCGTCCGCGCAGGCATGGCGGTGTCCATCCCGAGCCTGCCGCCCGCCATCGGCTCGCTCTCCTCCGCCCTCTCGCTCGTGCTGCCCCTGGGCCTGGGGGACCGCGGCGTCGTGTGCAACGTCCCCCCCGACAGGAACTACCCGCTCCCGCCACCGTACCCGCACGTGGAAAGCGGCTACATCCGGCACATCCTGCCTGGTGCGCCTCCATCCCTGCCTCCCTCCCTCCGTCGGTGGTGCCACTTGAGAGCGTTTCGGCAACGTGCCCTGTCTCCGGAACAAAAAATGGCTTGAGCCAATCAAACGCATTCAAGGCGTAATTGTTGAGGTTGAGCTCCCCAGCGAGTCTATGAATCGCCACGATTCATATTTTCCATCTCATATGCATTGTTTTACGATCATGTTTGGTTCTATAGTGGTCTGTTCTGGTCTTCCACATCATGGGTACACAATTTAGAATCATTGATTCTCACACGCACAATTCTACGCATTGTATCTTGTGCAAAATAATTTCTCTAGGGCAGAGATTGGCAACCTGTGGCCCCGGAGCCATATGTGGCTCTTTAAGGGCTGCTTTGTGACGTGATTAATTAAGGACCCACTGTCTCGTATTCACAGGTATTTCTGCTCTTGAAATATTGAGTTTCTTACAGAATTCGAAAAAAATGGCTCTTCCTGTTATTTTGTTTTCCGACCCGTGCTCTAGGGTGACAAAGAGCGCACGGTTATATTATGCCTGTTACAAAGCAAATAAAAATAAGCAGGCGTGTGTCATTGCTTGTGCTGTAGAGCCTATTGAGAGGGTGGCAGCCAGAGGGTGATGCCCCCACCGTCTGTCCGTGCGCTCGCGCTCCAACGTCGTGGGAATCCACGTCGAGTCGTTTAAAGCTGCCGCCCTGGCCCCTCGCCACAGGGATCCTGTCGTATCTGGCAGACCGGCCACCACCGCAGTACGTGCACCCGGGGCCCGGCGCCGTAGAGTCCGGCGCCGCGGCCGTGCCCTTGGCCCACAGCGTCGCGGCGGCCGCGGCTGCGGCGGCTGCGGCAGCGGCGGCCGCCGGCCTGGACCACTACCACCCGGGCGACTCGCTCGGCCTCGAGGCCGCCAAGGCCCAGCTCGACGCGGCCGCCGAGCGGAGCCCGACGCCGCCCGGCAGCCCCCACCGGGCCGACGACGCCAACGCCGCCGCGGCGCAGCAGCAGCAGCACCACCACCATCGGCACCATTCGCCGCACGGCCACCCGCACCACCCGCACAGCCACCACCTCCCGCTGCACCATCACCACCACCACCTGCACCACCACCACCACCACGGCCAGCACCACCACGCGCAGTTGCATCACCACCATCACCACGTGGAGACGCACATTGCCATCGACTGCGTCTCCAGGTGAGCTGCACGGCGGTGCGCGTGGTTATATTGCTCGGGGTTTGTCTCGATCGTTGTAACGGAGTAAATTAGGAAGGTTGGTGGCAGCAGGCAATTGGATCTAAGGTGGTGTTGTGGTGTTCGCGTGCGTGCATGTGTGCGTATACGCGTGTGTGTGTTTTTCGGGGGGGTGCGGATGTGTGTTGTTCGTGCATGTGAGGAGCGATGACCGGGCTGCGCTATCGGGCAACTTGAGTTCGATTCCCAATCACGGCTAACATCAGTGGCAAGTGATGTCAGAACTGGTCCTGCACATTGTTCAGGCCGCACCACCCCCTCGAACACCATTCGCGTTTTCTCAGGTGCTCGCTAACAGCATTTGCCCAAAGTCTGTTAACGGCTATGCGAGGTGTCTTTGTCCGCTGCTATGTGTGTGTGTGTGTTCCGCATTTCAGATCGAGCAGGGCCCCGAGCCCGGCCTCCCCGAGCTGTGGAGTGGCGATGGACGCCGCCGCCGACTCGCTCGCCATGGAGGGTGTGACCCATGACCCCGACACGCCGGGCCTAGGCGGACACTCCGCCTCCCTGGAGCTTCCAGTCGTCATCGACGCCAGCGACTACCAGGACAGCTGCCGAGACGACGAGGACGACGGCGATGACGACGAGGACGAGCGCGATGAGCAGCAGGCGGCAGTCGTGAGCAGGTGCTTGGATGAGCAAACCCCACACAGGTTTGACATGCTGCCAGCGTCTGCAGTAAACAAATACTGCGTTTCCACGACCCCCAATTTGCTTCTTTTAATGTCAATGTTGGGCTCGAGCGAAGAGGCGGTCCCTAAATGTCAACCAAAGATATTGTTGGTGGCACCAAGGTTTAATTTCACATTCTGCTTAACAGCTATAACGTTCCACTTTTAACGTTGTCAGCAATGCTATTTTGACCTTTTAGCTCGTAACCTGCCCAACTTATGCAAGAGTCTGTTAAAGGCTGCACGGAGGATCTTTGTCTTCGTGGTCCTTAAGGCTGAACTGAATCTTTACCTTTCTGTATGCATGTGCGTGCGTGTGCGTGCGTGCGCACCCATGTATGTGCGCGCATGTGCATACTTATGCGTTCCATGTGCGTGCATGCGCGTGCGTGTTGTTACAGATGCGGCGCGGTGCAGGCGCTCCAGGCCGTGACCTCCATCGTGCTGGAGCCCGTGGAGTTACCCCCGGGGCTCCACCACGGCGGCCGCGCCCCGCTCGCCGCGACCGCCGACTCCGCTGACTCCTCCTCAGAGGGCGGCGGCCACGTGGTGGGGCTGGCGCTGGCGCCCGCCAACTCGGTGCGCCTCGCGGGGGCGGGGGAGGAGATGCGCGGGGCGGCGCGGGAGGACAGATCCGTGTGTGAGTACGTCGCGCGCGTCACGTTTAACGTACCACCCTTGGCGGCTTAAAATAAAGTGCAACGTCCGCATATCCGACTCACTGGGGACTGAAGTGCAGGCAGAACTGTGTCACTGGACACCAAGCGCACACTGCTCTAATCGTGGGGAAATGCTTTCCTGTGCTTTAGCAGTGAGCAGCTATGCAGCGGATTAAGAAAAAAGAACTATATTTATTTTACCAGGTAAGGCCCACTGAGCTCTATATCTCTTTTTCAGAAGTGACCTGAGAACAAATGATAGCTCAACAAAGTGGCTTATCACGTTTTTAAATGTGGAGGTAAAACCGGAGGACTCTGACTCTGTGGAAGGGTCGGATTTGTTCAAATCTGTACAAAATGACACACCGTCATACATGCATACTGCACCGAGCGTGGGGATAGGCGACAGCCGGACAGGCGACGTTTAACCGTAATCGACTCGTCACGGCCGCGGCGTCCGTCCAGAGCCAACGTCTCGCCCATGCCACCAGGGTGCCCCGTGTGTGACGACGCGTTCGAGGACGACTGCCCGACCCACGGGCCGCTGACGCTCATCCCCGACTCGCCCATCGAGACGCGCGCTCGCCTGTCCCTGCCCAAGCAGCTGGCGCTCCTCTTCGCCTACGACGGCGGCGTCTCCGGTTCGTGGCCCACGTGGCGACCGCGGTTTTTCCCCGTCCGGCACGCGCTCCGTCCGTCCTCCCCTGCCTGTTGGATTTGTCCACGGCTCGTTTCGTCTGTGCTGTCGAGCTAATTCATCTCAAGCGCACGGCGAAAATCCCGAACGACGGTGGAGACGAAGATAAAATAATGTAAATGCGATGACACTCGGTGACCTTGCAGAAAAAAACAACCGCAGCATCGTCGCCACTGAGGCCACACACCGACCAGTCCCAGGATGGACCCGAGGCTGGTGGTGGTGGTCACGGGGCTGGAGGTGGTGGTTCAAAGATTTCATGTGCTTGTTGTTTGGTAGTGATGGGCGGTGACACGGTTAAAATACCCGTGCGAGTCTTATTTGTTTATTTTTTGTGTTATCTTTGCATGTGTCGGTGCGCGTGTGTGGTTTTGTCGCTGTACGTCCACACCCCTTGCCGGTTTGAATGCGTGCGTACGTATTTGTATAAACGTTTGTGTCTCGTGTGTCTGTGCGCGTGCGTGCTTGTATGTGTCTGCGTGCACGCGCGTTTGCAGGCGTGCGCACGCTGCAGGCCCTGCCCGTGCGCACGTGCTTTGGGCCGCTCACGGGCCGGCACGTGCTGCCCCAGCAGCAGGAGGCGTGGGCGCGTCTCAACATGGGCAGCCCCAACGTGTGGAAGGTGCCCGACCCTCCTCCTGCACCTCCATCATCGCACTCAGTCGCGCGCACGCCCGCGGTCCAGCACTCTAGAGGCAAGGGCAAGGGAATGGCATCGAAATTGAAATTCACGAATGGGGCCGTGAGTTGGCCGGGATACTCCGGTTTCTTCCATTATTTAGCTGAGTGTGCAGCCATGCCGCTGCTTGCGTGTGTGCTGCCTTGTTGAAATGACGGAGCCTTGTGCTTTACCTACAGATTTTTCGGGATGAGCAGCTGCAGTTCTGTGTCTGTACGGAGGACGAGGATGAGTCGAACTGGCTCTCCCTGGTACAGAGAGCCAGGTACTTGGGCCCCGCGTGTGTGTGTGTTCATGCCTGTTTAACACGTAGGCTTTCGCAACCAATATCCATAATAGAGGTTTTTTGGGTTAGACCTCTTAAATATATAAATGTGTCGTTAAAACCCGCCACCACCCGACACAGCCAACTAGTAAGGGTTGTCACGTAAACAGAACAATGCCAATTCGTCACTAGTACAGCTCACCAGTAGGTTGGAGAGCCAAGCCACAATCTGAGTACGACGTTTCGCAGTCCGCCTGCTGGATTTTTTCACCTGAAGACGATTGCTTGTGTTGCGATCGAAACGTCGTGATTTTTTATTTTATTATTTTTCTATCTACGTGACTTTACCGAAAGACCCAAAGAGTATGAATCCTTATTAGTTCGCTGTGTTGGGTGGTGGCGGGTTTTAACGACACATTTATATATTTACACAATCTAACTAAAAAAACCTCTATCATGTGTTCATGTCTCCGTGTGTGTGGTTGCAACTATCAACCGCATCAGAACATCAACAGGCCGATGCGCACATCTGCTTCATGAATGTAAAATTGTGCGATTGTGGCCACGAAACCCACACGATGGACTGTACAGTAAACCACTATAGTGTGCACTCTTTCAACGGAGGAGGAACAGCAAAACGACACGAACTCTCTCTCTCTCTGCTGAAGCCCTCTCGTCGTGGCCAGCAGGCCTCTACATTGGCATCGAGCTCCTGAACCACATCGCTGATGCCATCGAGCGCAAGAACAGAATGCCGACGCCGTACGCGAGGAGCCCGAGCGCGTGCGTGCGTCAAGGCCGTTGGGTGTGTGTCGTCCGTGCGTCCAGGACGTCAGAGGAGCAGAACCTGGTGGCGTACCTGCACGAGGGAAAGGTCTACCTGTGCACATCCCGTGATGTGGCGCCCTTCTCACCCCTCTGCTTCTACTACTGCAGGGACTACGCACGCCAGCTGGGTGAGCTTCCCTTGCACCACCCCCGCCCCCCCCCCCCAGACACACCCCCCCACACTGCATCCACATGCTGGCTTTCTAAGAGGTGACTCGGGTGTCAAGAGCATTGAGCACTCGCCCCACCATCTGTCGAAGGCTATACGGGGGATCTTTGTGTGTGTGCAGCCCTGCCCGAGTCGCTGCATTCCCCACGCTACGAGGAGTGCGGCAAAGACTTCCCTCCAGTGGGCGGCCTGCAGGGCGGCCTGCAGAGCGGCCTGCAGGGCGGCCTGCAGAGCGGCCTGCAGGGCGGCCTGCACGTCCGCGCCAGTGCCGCAATGTGCCCCGACGTTGGCAATGGAGACGTGGGGCCGGGGAGCGCGGCGGCCGTGGGGGAGGCCGTGGGGGAGGCCGTGGTAGTGACGGCGGGGGAGGCCTCGGCGGACGTGGATGCCGGCACGGCGGCGAGCGAAGAGCGACCCGGCAGAAAGTTGCTGTCCTGCACCGTGTGCTCCAGGGCCTTCCCCACCAACTCCAAGCTGAGGCTGCACATGCTGGGCCACATGGGCGTGCGGCCGCACGCGTGCCAGTACTGCGGAAAGACATTCTGCGACCCCAGCAACCTGCGCACCCACCTGCGGATACACACGGGTACCAAAACACGAGATCCTCCGTATGGCCCAGAACAGACTGTCGGGGCGAGTGTTGTTAGCGAGCACCTATTGAGGCCGGCACAGCAGACGAGGGGGTGGGTGGCCAAAACCACGCCTGGCCGCCTTTGTCTCCCTGGTCGTAATGTTTTACACACTGCACCAAGTACTCATTTAAGGCTGAGTCGACCTAGGAAAGGCCCAGGACCTTTTCAAATATTCGTCAGCGATGTTGACCGTGAGCAGGACTTGAACTCGGCTGGCCGGGTTCATAGCGCAGCTCACTAAACCGCCGTGCGCTACGTGCGTAACACACGGTTACGCACACGTACACAGGCACACGCGGGTACGCGCGTACCTGCGTTCCCGCACGCGAGGCTCACGGCGCGCCCCCTCCCCGTGCCCCCAGGCCAGCGCAACTTCAGCTGTGAGGTGTGCGGCCGCAGCTTCACGCAGAAGGCGCACCTCACCTCCCACGCGCAGGTGCACACGGGCGGCACGAAGACGCTGCGCTGTGACGCGTGCGGCAAGCTGTTCGCTCGGCGCCACGACCTCAAGCAGCACTCGTACATGCACACGGGGTGAGACGCACGCACGCACGCACGCGGGGTGAGACGCACGCACACGGGGTGAGACGCACGCACACGGGGTGAGACGCACGCACGCACGCACGCGGGGTGAGACGCACGCACGCGGGGTGAGACGCACGCACACGGGGTGAGACGCACGCACGCGGGGTGAGACGCACGCACACGGGGTGAGACGCACGCACGCACGCGGGGTGAGACGCACGCACGCGGGGTGAGACGCGCACGCACGCGGGGTGAGACGCACGCACGCGGGGTGAGACGCACGCACACGGGGTGAGACACGCACGCGGGGTGAGACGCACGCACGCGGGGTGAGACGCACGCACGCGGGGTGAGACGCACGCACGCACGCGGGGTGAGACGCACGCACGCGGGGTGAGACACACACATGTGCTTTTCGCTTTGCCTGGCCGTCTTTGTCTCCCCAGATATTTACACACTGTGTGAGGTATTCACTTCAGATCGAATTGACCTAGGGAGGTGGTCTAGGACCGGTTCAGATAGAATTTAATTCAGCTCGACAAATCCTTAGCGCACGCACTGTCCATTGCACCACCGTTCCCACAAATGACACACGCGTTGCACACACGTACACTCCACTCAAACACAATATATACACACACGTACACAGTCACGCGCGCGTCATGCATGCACACCGAGGTTGCCCTGTGACTCCGCGCGCCCCCACCCCCGCACGCGTGCACAGGGAGCGCACCGTCAAGTGCCCCGAGTGCGGGAAGATGTTCTGGCGCGCGACCCACATGCGCAAGCATCTCAAGACCCATTTGGGTCGCCGTGAGTTCACCTGCCTGCGATGCTGCAAGGCCTTCCTCACGCGCTACCACCTGGCACGGCACATCAAAGGCTGCCGCTGCGGCCACAGCGCCCCCTCTTCCGCCGCCGCCGCCTCCTCCTCCTCCGGGGTCGTCATCGTCGGTCCCGTGGAGGCAGCGGGGGTCAGAGTTCACGACGGGGGCGGGGGTCACGACGGGGACGTGTCCACGAGCGGCTCGGACGAGGAGACGCGGCCCGCGGAGGATGAGCGCGACGAGTGAGGTCTCGCGTCCCCGCGACGTGGAGGCCACGTGGCGGTGGCCGTGTCAGGGAGCGATTCCCCGCAGATGCTGGCTCAACGCGCTGCTGCTCCTGCTGTGACCGTGGCTGCTTCTCGCTCCAAGTGTCGCCAACTCTGCGATTGTCACTTCATCTTGTGACCTTTGGGTTTCCCAAGCGGCAACATGTTGTCAAGCCGACTAGCGGAAAATCTCCTGACTTTCTATCATGACATTCGGAGCGAGTCCAGGTTTATATGAAGGATCCTTCATCAGTTTTCAGCGTTTTCTGCTCGGTAAGTTGTCCTCTGGCATTTTTGATGATCAGCAACCGGTCCGTCTCGTGATGTCTCGCCACTATCTTGGATGGTGAGATGGAACGTTCACCGCCTGTTGCAGAAGTTCACAGTTGGTGTCCGTCGGCCGCCCCAGTTATAATTTGCGCCGTCTGCTTGACAGTGGACGTGAAAGATCCCCGTGACGATATTCGCGAGAGTAGGCCATTGCGTGCCGGCGTCACGGTCCGCATTTGCCACATTCGAAAGTTAATTCTCAATTGGGATTATGCAGCTGTAATCATGCCCTCCTGGTGGCAGGCTGATGGCCCAGGCGACTCTTGGAAATGCAACGCTATCCTGGTCACTTGAGTTCTCACCTGGTCAATCAAAATAAATGTAAACTGATATGAGGTTAGTCGTCTCGTTTCCTCGTTGCTGTGTGTGGCTGTTGCACTTGCAAAGCATCGATGATGAACTGTCGTAATTTTCTGTCACGATAAAAATATATTTTTATTGAGTTTACCCAACTCGCCTGAAATTAATAACGAATTTTCATGTGCGTATGTACTGTAATTATAATATATTACAAATTATACATTCTTCCAACCACTATTCCACATGTCGTGCAAAATAATTTAATTTTAAAGTAAAATTGCATGAATCGTGAATTCCATCACCTTAATAGCTGTGCCTGAACACGACAACTCATCTCAGAGCAACTCAACAGTGCCTGTCTATTCCCGTGTGGTGACAGTCAGGTTTGGGTTTGTAAGGTCATCAGGTCTTGACCTCCTGGAAGGGGTCACCCCGTTTGACACACGGCTATCATTGCATCTCGTGCTGCCACAAAGGCTCGGCTGTCGTACTGCTGCCAACGACAACCACGCTTATTTCCAAGTGATTAATTCTAGGAAGCAGACACACTTGAATAATCACTTAATAATTACAAGAAAATCCCGTGCTTTTTCAAATCGATGTTATAATCACACCATTTTGATAAACGTCTACAAAGAGCCGAATTAGGTGAATGTGTCACCAGCCTCTCGGCAGGGGACAGTCCAGAAATATATATTGTACTGTGCTTCGATGCTCCCCACCACCAAGCCCGTCTTGTATGGCATAAAGGAGTTATTTTTGTACCAAATGTAATTGGTTGAAATGCAAGTTTTGGTGTGCTTCGTGTAAATGTCGTTTTTGATCCTATTTTCACATTTCCACCCTGTCACGTTCCTGTAGCTGTTGCCACTGCCGATGGTCTTGGGCCGTGGTCGTCCTTACAAAAGAGCTGCTTAGCTCAGCGTGCCTTGAGTCTAGTTGCTGGACCAGTCTCAATAGGTAGGGTGCTAGGGTTGCCACCTCAGGGGTACAAAATCCCAGGACGTATCATTGAAAGATTATCTCACAGTACCTGAAGGGAAGAGAAAACTGCATGTCAATGATTTGTCTTGAGTGGTGCATTACTTCTTGTTATTGCTCTTCGCTCCCTGTGGCGCATAAGGCTGCAACAAGCCCACACTATGCCGGACAAAAATCGGCACTTTTTAATGTCCCGGTAAGACTCGCAGATTTCCCAGGACAGTAACTTCCTCAAGAGCTTGATCCTGGGAAACCTGGGACAGGTGGTAACTCTAGCTGGTGATCCAATCTCAGGAGAGTGGGAATTCAAGGGGCCTTCCCCAAGGACTCACACCTGGTTCAGCGTGACCGCCACCATCACGTGGACTCAGCCCAGAAACTCACCTGGGCATTCAAAACGCAGGCGAGTCGGTGCGGGAGATTGAATCTTGCCGCACCGTTTACTGGGCGTGTAATAATTTAAAGGGTTCTGGGATAACTTGATAACCTTTTCTGATGAACCCTGCTACCTTCATTACAACACTGTTGATTTCTCAACGGCAATCGTCATCAACCATGATCGTTGCCATTTCAGGTCACGCTATGCAGTCATTCACGTAGTTCATGCGCCCAGGCTGATTTCCTTGCTCCATCTGCACGGTGGATCCTCTTGGGCATGTTCCCTCCTTAAGCTACCGCTCCGTCATTAGTTTCGACCACTGAACTGCATCCAACACACCTGCACGAGGTAGTACACGTGAATAAGCATAACCACTTTATTACGTTATATAGGTTTACATGATATAGGTTTACGTCATATAGGTTTACATTATATAGGTTTACAAAAGCAAATGTACATGCAGGGCAGGAAGCGGAACGAGCAACGTGGACTAGAGTCCGGCCAGACATGTTAGGTTGTGTCCGTTCTTTCAAAACCACAGCTATAGGCTAGGTTTGTTATTTAGCACCTGAAATTACACTTCATCAGGCATTCATACACAGCAACTTAAGTGAAATCGTCCGGCGCTTTGCACTAGAATCGGTGTAAACGGAGGGGAAACTCACGAGGCGTTTGTGAAACGCGAGCACAGAATCGTGGGGCGAGCTGACCACCCGAGGCACATTTGTGGGCAGTTCTGCTGAATAAAAGAATCTGTGCTGCTTAATACTGGCCAGAGAGAGGTGTCGGGAACCTGAAGTTTACCCTCATAGGTTATTTGATTACCACCAGCAGGAAAGGGTTCACAATAAAAATCACCGGCTCCGAATGCCCTGCTGCTGTGCGAGTTTCAGTTGGATGCGAATTCGTGTTAATGACGATGCTGGTGGTAGTGGTGGTGAGCTGGCCTCCCAACCCCTCGTGCCGTGCTGACCTTAATAGGTGTTCGCTAACAGCACTTGCCCCAACAGTTTGTTAAGGCTGCATGGGGAATCTTTGTTTCTGTTGTCACAGTGATCTGCTCAATTGAGCACTGAGGCGGTGCTTATCTTCTGTTTACCACTCGGAGCCATTAGCGGAAATTCCTACGGTGGGGGCAAGTTAATCCATACGGCAGCCACTGTTGACTTTTCTACAAAGTGATACTCATTTTATGGACCCCAGTAGCGATGAGGAGTCAACCTCCAGCAAGGATTTGAAGTCACAAACTTCCAATTGCGAGCCGCTCGCTCTACCGCTGAGCAAGATTTCTGCGTTACGCAGCAGTCGCAGCAGAGGCGCACAAGTGATCATGATCCCAGATATAGTTTTGGAATTCCATTCATAATTGACGAAAAAAAAGTAACTTTAAGGCATTTCATTGAAATAAAGCTGCACCTCGTGGACAACAGGAGTTGTGTAGGTGGCTTGTGGAACACGCCGACCATGTGACCGAAACCCTGCCGGCGTGAACCTAACAAACGCCGTTCCAGCACGAACACTGGGCCGTTGGGCCGCACCTCTACTCGGGGCGAGCGCCAGGGGATCTATCGTCAAGGCAGGTCATCGGAATGTCCTGCAAGCGCGGCTTGAAGGGCTCTCTCGAACACGATACACGTACACGCGACGACCCCGTTATCCCACCGACCGCCGGACATTCTCGGGTAACGAACCCACGGCTTTGATGCGAGATGACCCGTTCTGTGCCGTGATAATGCCGCAGTAGGTGCAGAGCCGTACGGAGAAGGCAGATAGCACGGGTGTTCTGCCTCCAGTCATTCATACAACACTCCTGGCAAATTCACCGTACCCTGATGTCAGGTGTTTAAGGACTACGGAGTTGTGGAAAAAGCTTATGATCTGTGAGCAAGAAAAATCATTTAAACCTTTTTTTGCGATTACAGGTGTAGAAAATATCTTAATAACGCCGTCATGCAAAACTATAGCGCACATTTAAACTTTAAAACTATTTTGTGATTATCATAAGTAATGTGGAGCGCAATAGTTTAATATGGTTGCTCAGTGCTAAACCAATAATTGGCAGTGGGCCGGAGTAGTCAAGAGGCATGTGATGATTTCAACTCGCTTCTGCCCCCACGAAATAAAGGCTGGTCTTGGTTTGGGGTCACAATTCAAGAATCGGTGTTTTTAATATTGCAAAATGTTTTAATTTATAAAGCATTGGCGTCAAGCAATGCTGAGGAACTACAGACACGGAAGGCAGCCTGACAGTGAGCCGGCACCAAAAATTGCCCATGTTCTGGAGTCCTCTATTATGTTAAACTGGATTTCCAGGAGAAAATCACACGTACGTGGGGGAAAACATTATCCAATGCAGAAGCAACGTGATAATAGTCCACACTTTGCTGTATCGCCTTCTCCAAGCGAGAAAATGTTTGGACTTAATGTGCATTAAAAATAATTATCCATATTTTTACAATTCAATGCAACTATCGGGAGCGTAAGAAGGGGCTTTGATAAACGGATGTCTTGAGTTAGGATCCTCATATGTTGGACTCACCGGGTGGGGATGCAAGTGTGTGGGTGGATTTTCAAGCACTGCCGCACTTCCAACCTCCACGTTAATAATGAAGCTTTGGGAAATTGTGGTCTTCAAGTGACCGACTTGCTCGTCGACACGAGTAATTGTCCATTCTGTCAGCAGCGTGCCCTCCCACACGCTCACTAGCCTCGGAACGAATCTGCCTGTGCAACAGCGAGGTCGGTGGGATGAAAGGGTGGCGAGGACAAATATGTGGCCACCTCCCAGAGGAATAACTTTTACGAGCAACATCACCGTTCCGCCAAACGATTATATAACGAACACAACGGTTAAAGACAGGTTTGTGTGTTTTACAAACAGCAGCTAGAGTATTTAGTGAAAGGCACTGTGGGTCTGGCAATGACAGCTGGACATCAAGTAACTACTGGCACTATACAGGGGGTTCCTGGATGCATCGGCCAGGAACCCCCAAGAACTGACAAGGCCCATGAGGCAATAGAGAGCCATAGCCGGTGTGACAGGAGGAGGGAGCCTTTGGCTGGGTGCTGGCTGAGTGCTGGCTGGATGCAGGAGATGTGGATCTGTGGGTGGGACTGTGGGTGGCTGGGACTGTCTGGAGAGGACCCCAGGGTTATCGGCCAGGTACTACTTGTTCTTGGCCGCCAGAGGACGGCGACTGATCTTCTTGGTCTTGTCGTTGGTCTTGGGTGGTGGGGATGGATTGGCCTGCATGTGCCGGCCGTATAAACTGCAAAGGAAACACACACAACACATAAACATAAAAACAAACACAATCAAGTCAAAGCCACACAAACATACGCATGTAAAGACACCAAGCCATAAAACACAGGTATTTAACCAACATTCCCCAACAGCGACTGCCTACACATGGACATAAGCATGTAGCATGCACAGGAGCATGCAGTGCACACACACACGATAATCGAGCACATACACGAGCATGTACACACATCCACAGAAGTTGTTATATATGTAACCTGTGCAGATTTCACACAACTGCAACAACACACAGACACATGCGTGGTCACAGGTGTAGGCATTAAGTGTGCTTGCTGCACTGGGTGAAGCGGTACTCACTACTTGTAAGTCTCGGAGCGGATGTACTCGAAGACGTGGGACAGCCCGACCTGGAACTGGTCAGCGATTGGGGCCACCCAGGGATTATTCTCAGCCTTGAACACCTGCTTGGGACCCACCAAATCCAGCACACCTGTGCGTGGACAAAACATAAGCAAAATCAAAGATCGCCCGTGTAGCCTTTAACAGACTGTTGGGGCAAGTGCTGTTAGCGAGCACCTATAAAGTCCAACACACTATACGATACACGATAGGGTGTACTGTGCCGGACCATGCCCAGCCGCTTCTGTCTCCCTATTGGAGATGTTTACATATTGAGTAAACTTAGGAGAGGCCCAGGACTGTTCAGATATCCATCACTGGTGTTGGCAAGGATTGGTATATATATAAAATCAAGCTAGGATCGCTCAGTCCGTAGTGCAGTACACTTGCACCTCCAATTAGCACGGTTGGCTAATTGTTTTTTCCAGTCTGTGTTTGCCAATTGGGCCTGATTTCCAAGATTACGCTTCCTACGGTGTGTCACTCCCATGGTGTTTTGTTGCCGTTACTACGATGTGTGGTTGCCAATGGTGTTTCCGTGGCCGAGGTTGGCGCGCGTGCTTTGCCGTGGTACCAAGCTCAGGTGGCAGCACAGTGAGGCGGTTGCCCTGGATGTGCAGCTCCTTGAGCTGCGTGAGTTCTCCCACCTCCCGCGGCAATGACACCAGATCGTTATCGCGCACGCTCAGCTGCACGACACACAGACATGAAAACAGAGATTCAAGGTTGCGCCACTGGGCCTTGCACAGGCTGTAGAGGAAATGTCCTGTTAGCGAGCGCCTATAACAAGGCTGAGAGGGCACATGGGCGGGTGGTGATCAATGCAGAAGGTGATTGGAATGCAGGGGTTTTCGATTATTGTCGTGTAAGATTTATTGAAGATTGTGGTGTAGGGGTTATCAGTCATCACAAAATATCTCATTGACGGTGATGTGAGGGTTATGAGTGATCACGGTATTGTGAGAGGTGTCCAGTTCTCACAATCTGCAGCTTGTTGAGCTTCCCTACGTCGGGAGGAAGTGTCTCAAAGTCGTTGTCACTGAGGTAGAGAGCACGCAACGTGGCTGGGTGGGGGTGAGGAGTTGGGGGAAACATGTAGGCACATCGTGAGAACAGATCAATTTGATTGTTAAAAACACAGCACAGGCAGCGTCCGATGTTTATTAATGCGTAACACCCAGCTGCTGAAAACAGCAAGGCGTGTTCGGCACGGTTAGCAGGAGTCAGCTGGCACAACACCTACTTGTTGCATGCCACCACACAATCTACGATTGACCCCAATGGCCAGTACATCTGCATGTGTAAGCGTGTACAACTGATAGGGGAATAGTCTTTCATGCCGTGTATCCCCGTGTGCCTGTATATACATGTGTCCTGATGCTTGGACAAGACTTGTGAAGCCCGCTAATTCGAAGTTGGAGGCAGGCGCGCTCCAACAATAACAAAGCTAAGAAGAGCGACGCTCAAAAAGAGCAGAGCGTCAGGTGACTAAAATGCAAGTCATCTCAGTTAATCAACCCATAGCACCGTGCTGTGTCCCGAGACTTCTTGCCAACAGTGAGCATTCCACACTTGACGTGGCCTCAAGATGTACCTTGCCTGGCACAATCGCCGTGGTGACATCATCGCCATTTAGTGGCGAATGGAGGCTGTTGTCGTGTGTCTGTGTTTTTGTGTGTCCATGTGTGTCCGTGTGTGTGTGCTCATGTCCACGCGTCTCACTGAGATAGAAGAAGTTTCCTGGCAGGGAGGCCTCGTTTAGGTTGTTGTAGGTGAGGTCCAGCACCTCGAGTGCTGGGAAGGAGCCAAACCCTCGCGGCAGCGTGCTCAGCCGGTTCATCCTTTGCAAATACACACGTACGTGAACACAGATGAACACACATGCGTGCGCGCACACACGAACACCCTTTCACACTCATGCTGCTTCTTGTAGTAACGCTACAGCGCATTGCTTAGTCCATCATGAAGCATGTTACACATGAGGAGGGTAGTAACAGTCGCATTCCTGCCCATTCACTCTCAGTTTAATGTCTATCTCAGAGACAGAGTGAAGGGTGAGGGATGAGAGGTGAGGACAAGGAGTAGATAATGGATTATAGGTGAGTTATAATGGGAGTGGAGGTGAAGGGTGAGAGAAAATGGAGTTCAGGGGTGAGAGGATAGTGGTGAGAGGCGAGCATTGAGAGGTGAAGGATTAAGACAGGGGAGAGGCGTGTGAGGGTGAGAGGAGAGGTGATGGTTGATTTTAGAGTTGAGCTGTGCGAGTAGAGGGGGGCAAGGGATAAGGTGAGAGACAAGGGTGAGCGGTGAGAGGTGAGAGCAGATGGAGCGATGAATCGGAGGTGAGGGGCAAGGGTGAGCAGTCATCAGGGGCTGAAGTGTGGGAGTAAAAGTAATGTCACTCACCCCAGGTTCAGGTGCTTGAGTTTCTGCAGGCCGCTGATCTGCGTGGGCAGCTCTTCAATCTGGTTGTTGAAGAAGTTGAGCACCTCCAGGTTACGCAGCTCACTAATGTTCGCCGTCACAGCTGCACACGCGGAAACATTGCGCTTAATTAAGCTGCGGAAACGTGTTTGTGTGCTGATGTCAACATAAGGTACGTGAACCTTTGTGTTGAGATCACAAGTAAGGGTGGCAGTTTGATGAGCAGGTATATAATGATCCATCGATCAAAACCAATTATGATGCTCATGACACATGCATAAAGAATTAAAGAAATTATTACATACAAATTAAATACTAATGTTACATTGAGGTTAATGGAGCAAACATAACTGCACAAAGGGAGAAACAAATAAGAATACAAAGCAGACGGTAAAAACAAAACAATTATTGAGTTGAATCGTGACCCAGAATTGTGACGATTAATCTAATCGCTGGTGGGATGAATCGTTACACACAGTGCGGTGAGTACATTCAGACGAGTACATTGAGATGATGGTGCATCAACCTGGGGAGCAGTGATATGCCGTGGCATTAGGAGAGGTGATGTACCGTCATTATATTCAGTGATTTCCATGTTTTGCAATGCAATTTGTATTTATTGTGTGAAAGTGTGACCAAGTCTAGATATGTTGAACAAAAAGTGGATTATTTTGGAATCAGCCAGTTATAGGCAGAGGAAAAAAGGTTGTAAGCTTGCACCTGAATAGGGGAAAGAAGTCAACAGCACGGATGACTGGGATAAGGGAGTTAGTTCATGATGAGGGCAGAAGAAGCGACATCATTAAACTCACTCTGCAGCTTGTTGTGGCTGAGCACCAGCTGGGTGAGATGACTCAACGCAACTGAAACAGAGAGTACACGAATACAATATCATACCGAGTTTATAAATGCATTACACTAAATAGGAGTAATAGCTCATGTTGTTTTGTCTTTTCCAATATTCAAACTATGTCACGAGAAAAAATGTCCATTCAGAAGTCTCACAGAGCAGTGCAGCATCAACCTTTGTTTAGAGACTGGTGTGGAATGATATATTACAGAACTTCTTCTGAGATCCCTTCAAGTTACTTTTTACCACATTACTGATGGTGTTATATTATCCCAAATGTCCTACTACATAAAAATGCTATCCCACATGGCAGTCAAAACTAACAATTTGAATATAAGAGCGGGTGGTTAAAACCCAATTTTGAAACCAGGAAATCAGGCAATGCCAGCCGATTCCTCTGATCCCTGAGACTAACCTTAACCCAGCCACCTCTGACTTCTCACTGAAAACTCAGTTAACGCTGCTTATATACGGTGAGGGAAAAAAGTATTTGATCCCCTGCTGATTTTGTACGTTTGCCCACTGACAAAGAAATGATCAGTCTATAATTTTCATGGTAAGTTTATTTGAACAGTGAGAGACAGAATTACAAGAAAATCCAGAAAAACACATGTCAAAAATGTTATAAATTGATTTGCATTTTAATGAAGGAAATAAGTATTTGACCCCCTCTCAATCAGAAAGATTTCTGGCTCCCAGGTGTCTTTTATACAGGTAACGAGCTGAGATTAGGAGCACACTCTTAAAGGGAGTGCTCCTAATCTCAGCTTGTTACCTGTATAAAAAGACACCTGTCCACAGAAGCAATCAATCAATAATTCCAAACTCTCCACCATGGCCAAGACCAAAGAGCTCTCCAAGGATATCAGGGACAAGATTGTAGACCTACACAAGGCTGGAATGGGCTACAAGACCATTGCCAAGCAGCTTGGTGAGAAGGTGACAACAGTTGGTGCGATTATTCGCAAATGGAAGAAACACAAAAGAACTGTCAATCTCCCTCGGCCTGGGGCTCCATGCAAGATCTCACCTCATGGAGTTGCAATGAGAACGGTGAGGAATCAGCCCAGAACTACACGGGAGGATCTTGTCAATGATCTCAAGGCAGCTGGGACCATAGTCACCAATAAAACAATTGGTAACACACTACGCCGTGAAGGACTGAAATCCTGCAGTGCCCGCAAGGTCGCCCTGCTCAAGAAAGCACATATACATGCCCGTCTGAAGTTTGCCAATGAACATCTGAATGATTCAAAGGACAACTTTTGAAAGTGTTGTGGTCAGATGAGACCAAAAATGGAGCTCTTTGGCATCAACTCAACTCGCCGTGTTTGGAGGAGGAGGAGGAATGCTGCCTATGACCCCAAGAACACCATCCCCACTGTCAAACATGGAGGTGGAAACATTATTCTTTGGGGGTGTTTTTCTGCTAAGGGGACAGGACAACTTCACCGCATCAAAGGGACGATGGACGGGGCCATGTACCGTTAAATCTTGGGTGAGAACCTCCTTCCCTCAGCCAGGGCATTGAAAATGGGTCGTGGATGGGTATTACAGCATGACAATGACCCAAAACACACGGCCAAGGCAACAAAGGAGTGGCTCAAGAAGAAGCACATTAAGGTCCTGGAGTGGCCTACCTAGCCAGTCTCCAGAGCTGAAGGTTCGAGATGCCAAACGTCAGCCTCGAAACCTTAATGACTTGGAGAAGATCTGCAAAGAGGAGTGGGACAAAATCCCTCCTGAGATGTGTGCAAACCTGGTGGCCAACTACAGGAAACGTCTGACCTCTGTGATTGCCAACAAGGGTTTTGCCACCAAGTACTAAGTCATGTTTTGCAGAGGGGTCAAATACTTATTTCCCTCATTAAAATGCAAATCAATTTATAACATTTTTGACATGCGTTTTTCTGGATTTTGTTGTTGTTATTCTGTCTCTCACTGTCCAAATACACCTACCATCAAAATTATAGACAGATCATTTCTTTGTCAGTGGGCAAACGTACAAAATCAGCAGGGGATCAAATACTTTTTTCCCTCACTGTATGTCACTATGTAACACAATTTCTGTTCCTGGGTAGTAAGTGTTATTTTTTTTTATTGCTTATGCCTAACAAGTATAGAAAATGGCTATTATTCACCACAAACTTTGCTTTTGTGACCAGGACTTAATGTGAATGATGAAGACCGCTTGTGTTGAGATCGAAACGTCGTGGTTTTTTGCTTTTTTATATTTTATGATTTTATTTCATGTTTATTTTCTATGTACGTGACTTTACTGAAAGAACCAAGAATGTACACGATTACATCATTGAAAGTAGGTACATTTCTAAATATCAATGTCCTGGTCACAAAAGCAAAGTTTGGGGGGAATAATAGACATTGCCTGTACTTTTGAGGTACAATGAGGAAATAACACTTACTAGCCAGGAACCATTTGTTTTTGTTACACAGAATTTATCAATCTGGTGTCGTGGGGGTAGTTGGACTTGCGTACAGAGGCCTGGCACGTCCAACATGTTGGATACAGCCTTGTCACTCAGGTCCAACTCCGGCACATCCTTATCCTTGCACTCCTCCACGGCTTTCTTCAGAGACTTGGACATCTTTGTCTGCAGCGACATACACAGCCACCACGACCATACATGCATTTTACGTATGGGGTGGAATTCCAATACAACTCACAGGGAACAAGAAGGACTAGGCCTGATCCAACTGTTGAGTTGTCCGCATCTACCCGCAGTTGGTTGTGGCGCTGCTGTTACTGCTCGTGATGGTTCCAATGTTTAACAATGTGATGTCAGTGTAGCTCATGATGGTGGCTGATGGTGTTTGTGGTGGTCAAGATGCTGCTACATGTAGTGTTGCCAGTGGTCGTGTGTTGGAAGTTGGCTCTGGTGATGCTGGTTGTGTGCTTAGTATAAATGGTTGCTAGTGATGTTGTCCTCGGTGCTGTTGTACGTGATGCTTGTGCTGCCTTGTGCTGGTTGTGCTGATGTTGAGGTGTTCGTTATAAAAACTGAGGCAGCAAGCAGACGGGTAGCTCACACCAGCTAAACACCGCCCCTCCTGTGTAATATAAACCATCATCCCCATGCAAACGACAGTGGGCCACGGCACGCACACATCAACCCTGCCACAAGGCAGCCTCGTGCCTGGACAACCACTCGCTCGGCACAGTTATAGCCCCGAACATCTCCAGCTCTGGGCTGTGGACACTTCTAGACCTTGAGACAACCCCATGCCTCTGGGACCGCTCGAACGTATTTAATTAACTTACAGTGTATTTATATTTAGTGACCTGCTTATCAGTTGCTCTATTTCGCGCTCCTATCGTGTTTTCGTATTGTTAGCTGTTGTAACTTGCCGACCCGCCCATACTGGACATCTGTGAAAAAGAGCTTCATAGCTCATCGGATTCTCCTCCCCTCCAGTCTAACTAAAGATGCTGATAACCCAGAGGACATCTCTCGTTTGTCTCGAGCCAGAGCGATCCTCAATGTTCAGACTACCTCGATCTGAGAGACGTTCAAACCTCGCCACGTCCCGGAGATAGCGGTTTCCAGCGAGCCGTGTGGCCCCGAGGCTACAGCCTCCGAAGACGCCCAGGGGCGAGGAAGCCGCACCCCGTGTCACCACCACCACCACCACCAGCCGCCGCCTCCTCCACGCCACCCACCACCTCACGCAGCAACACGCGCAACCCTCCGGGGTGCATCCGCTGACCCCACTCACCGCGCAACCCGTCGTTCACCTCGTGTTAGCCCCGGGTTCTCTCGGCTCCCCTTAGGCCCTGCTGGATCCCCCTGAGCGAGCCGGAGCCGCGGTCGCTACGCTGGAAACGGCGGGAGATGAAGAACGCCGCCACCGCCCGGATTCACAACGCGCGGCGAAGTCGGACGCCACTGGGCGCAGACATCTTGCTACTGCCGAGAGAGCCGATTGGTCAGGAGCGCGCACGCGACGGCAAGCGACCCTCGTGATTGGCCCCAAGTTGATGGGGAAGTAGTCAGCTGAGAAGTAGTAAGATGGCAACCGCGATGGGGTTGCGTACAGGGCGTGGAGCTCCCCTCTCCCTGTATGGGCATTCGTGAGCGGCATCGCTGCTGATGGGTGCGGGTTACATGCTGCCCACACACCGCCCCCTCGCACGCAACAAATAAACACACCAGTCTACACACACACACAACACAGCTGTCAACTCGGACGGTTTACCCCGTGTTATTGTACAGGGAAATTGAGTTTTCAGGTCCTTGCGGCGTGCAGCCGTTTTAATGCGGGGAATTTGTTTTTGTCTGTGTGTGTTTCTCCCTTGTGACGGGACTTTGTAGGATGGACGTTTATGTTTATAAGGGCACGGGGTGACCAACAAGGTCTGAATTGGTCGGTAATAAGGTAGGCACACACACCACAACATTACAAACCACACACAGACCCAGTTTTTTACACAACAGCCGTCATTCGCCACGAAGTGACGGTGCCGTCATCACGGCGCTAGTGCCAGGCTAGGTGCACTCTGAGGCCACTCGAAGTGTCAAAGGCTCGCTGGCAGGAGGTCACGGGACAGACCCAGGTGCCATGGGTTTACTGACAGAGATGACTGACAGATGCAACAACTTGTGCCACCTACGATGCCAACTTGCTGTGTGTTAGCCGCCCGGCACTCCGCTCGTTGTGGTGAGCGTGGTTACCCCGCTATCAGTTGTTGTTGGAAGGCGACTGCCTGCCTACAACTTTGCCCAGTAGCCTCCTTCACGAACCTCCTCCAAACACACAACTCACACACCACTACAAACACCCAGTTACCGAAACTCGCACCACATCACGCATCTCATACACCAAACCCAATCTCGAATCGAGCCACACCCACACACCAACATTCTTCAACACAATCATTCAAGCTCATATCATGCATTTAATCCAACACACATACCATAATACACGTATTCAAGAGGTACACCATACATCCTGATACTATCAGTTACCACACGAACCCAATCATCCAAGCTGCCACCACAACCACAGATACTGTCACACCTTTTAACCAAACACCAGTCCACACACATGCACACGGATATCATCCATGTTACAACCACATTAAACTCCTCACACACACGTCACGTTCACCCACGTTCCACCCAAACAGTCCCCACCTAACATAACACACAGCACACACACCATCCCCTTCTGCCTGCCACCGACACAACTGACTCACACCATCACCACCACCCACGCCTCACACCCCCACACGCAGTCCCTGCCCACAACAAACCTCAACAAACACCTCCCACACCCTGCCAATTGGACACAATTCGTGACCAGCAACTGTGAATTCCCCACTCTCCCCCTCACCCCCGTTCTCTCCACACTCCTCCAGCCCATTGTCCTCTTTCGTGGGACTCTTCCACGTTCTCTCTGCCCTCACTTGCCTGCCCCGTCTCCCACCATCTCCCCTCTAATCCTCTCCCTCCCGTCCTTCCCGCATTCATCCCTTCTCAGCCCCCATCTCCTCTCACCCACATTCCCTCTGCCCCAACCCCCCTGCCCCCTCTGCCCCCACTAACCCCCCCTCTGCCCCCCCTGCCCCCGCCCTCTGCCCCCCTCCCCCCGCCCTCTGCCCCCCTACCCCCGCCCTCTGCCCCCCCTGCCCCCACTCCCCCCGCCCTCTGCCCCCCCCCCTCTGCCCCCTCTGCCCCCCCCCCTCTGCCCCCAATCCCCCCCCCTCCCTCTGCCCCCACTCCCCCCCCTCTGCCCCCACTAACCCCCCCCCCCTCTGCCCTCACTCCCCCCCAACATTCCCTTCGACCCCACCCTCCTCCCCCACTTCTTTCCCCCCCCACCCTCCTCCCCCACTTCTCCCCCCCCCCCCCACCCTCGTCGCGCCCTCCCCCAAAATTCCCCTCGTGCCCCCCCCCCTTCCGCCACCAATCGCCCACCCCCTCCACCCCTCCCCTCTTGTCCCCCCCCCTCCCCGCCTAAGATGGCGGCGCCCGAGTGCCGCGCGGGCTCGGAGCTCGTGGTGCGGGTCGAGGAGGCGTCTGGCGGCGTCCTGCTCGTTTCGCTGAGCGTCGGCGAGCGCGACTTCTCGGGCGTGCTCATGGACGTGTCGGGGCGGTGAGGAGCCCCGCACTCGCTCGCCGTCGCGCCCGCTTGGCTCGCCCGTCCGCGCGCGGAGACCGAGGCCCGCGGTGGAGAGGCCCAAACCTCGGTCTCGTCTGGATTCCCTACCGGTTTCCGAGCGCGTCCATTGGGGGTCGCGGCCGGTCCGGCCCCCCCTGTCCCCCACTCCCCTGCCCGCCACCACCTCCCTAGCGCCCCGGGTGTCGCCAATGACGAGAGGTTTTCGCATTACTTTGGATGCGCATTTAAAAAAAATGCAATTAACAGATAAGTCAGTTTTGTGGCTTTGTAGTGGAGAAGCTGCTGATTAGGCGGTTTAAAGGGATGCGTGAGTTGGTGGTGGGGTGGTAGAGACGCCTCGTGATGGTGAGAAGAGGTAAACAGTCTGGCTGTCTCGCAAGATTTACAAACATGTAGTAGGTTTCAACCAGTTCAATATTTGAGCATTTGCATCGGACGCTGGCGTTAGTGATGGTGATTATCGTTGTGATGCTAATGATTACCGCAGTGGAGATTTGTGTGATTGTGTTGCCTATGGTTGTGGCGATTGGCACGGTGGTAATGATTGCAGTGGGTGGTAACGGCGATAGTTCTAATGGTATTCATTACGGCTGTGATGATGGTGGGGTAGGTGATGGCTATTATTATGGCAATTGTGAAGTTACTGATGGTTATGGCGGTGGTGGTGATCATAGCGGTGATCGTGGAGGTGATAATGCTGGTAGTAATTATGGTAGTGATGATGGTAGTGCTAATGGTGGTGGTGACAATTATTAATTGGGTATGCTCTCGCCTACTTCAGCATTTTTTCTTGCTGTGGTTGTTCCACCTGATGAAGATTGCTTGTGTTGCGATCGAAACGTCTTGATTTGTTTTATTTTATTTCTACCTACGTGACTTCACCGAAAGAACCAAATAGTGGGTATGCTGTATTAATAATTCTGGTGAAAATTCTGCTGTTGATTGTCAAAGGGTAGGTGGTGGTGATGATGATGCTGATTGGGGTGATCGCTCACGATAACCGCTGGTTTTCGATTCCATCTCCCGGCGCGGCAGCTAAATACGACGCCGCACGTTGATGAACGCCCCCCCCCCCAGCCACGTGTTCACCTCGCAGCAGACATCGGTGTACCATAGTCGATCGTGCAGGTCTGCTCACCGTGAAGAGTAGACCACATACCTACGATAGCTCCCTCTATTGGAGGAGCTTCTGCGAGCAGTGGCGTGAGCACGCAAGCGAGCGAGCATTTGTAGGGTTCCACCTTTACCTTTCAACTGAGACACGTGGGTAAACGTACCACGCACGCGGTAACTCTGGATGCGGTGCCGTTTGTATGTCCTCTTGATTCCCTTCACTATTAAACTCCCAGGAGAATAGCTTCTGAAAACGGTTACCGGTTTACCGTATACCAGCCCAAACGATATGGTCGTACATTTGACAAGGCATTATTCACAGTGTGGTGATGTCACGAGACATGTCAAAGAGAGGAGGTCCGATCCCACGGCCACCATCGGCACCTTTTGCTGTCCAGAAATCGGCCTCGGCGCCTCAGACTGCACTGTTTTTCTGTCCGTCGAGTTTCTCATTTGCAGAAATCGTTGAGAATCTGTTCACATAATTTCACACCCAGCAAAAGCCATGCTGAACTCGGTTGTACTGTATTGAAACGTGACTGCCTTTTACAGTCGTGGCAGGTTGAACAGATTGGCCTTTGATGCGAGAGACTTTTGTTGTCTGTGGGGCGTGGGCAGATCCTGAGCCTGGAAGGGCGTGGTGCCCTGGCACAGGAGGCTGCTCAGCTGGTCGTAGGCAGGGACCCCAACGCAACTGTTTGCGCCTCCCATTAATTATTCATCTGGTCGTTTACCAATTTGTAAATTATTCATTGCTGTTCGACCCGCCTTCTACCGGTCAACGAAATTCACTTAACAGCCTAGGCCCATCGCACACGTGTACACAGGCAGTGAACTCGCCCCGCCTATCTCCCGCTCTGTCTCATTCCCCTTCCCCGTGCTCTGCTCTAGCAACCAAGGCCATCTGTCGGAGCCTGCAGTCAAAGCTACGCTCTTAAGAGGTTGCCTCTCAGATGTCGCTAGCTCTGGTGTGTTTTCGGTTTGTGTCGTGCGTTGTTAGAAATCGTGCTTCTTTTCAGCTCCTGGCACGTGGAGTGAAACTTTACTTATTTTACTTACCTAGGAAAGCCAGATTGATTCGTAGGACTTTTTCAGGCGCGTTCTGCTACATTGGGTTGAGATGTTAAGATGTTTTCGGCTAATTCATGAGTGTTTGTACATGTGGGAGGAAACCGGAGCACCCGGAGAATACCTACACGTACGAGGAAGCAACACTCTTTTCCATTACAGATGGAAACGGATGGCGATTAGTGCACTTGGTGTACTGCCTTCTGGCGAGCCATGGTATGGCGCCTCGACAACATGTGGTACAACCCAAAAACACATCGGATTGTTTTATAGCCCAACCAATATAGTTCTCTACCTGGCTCTGCACTGCCCACTCACCCCGAGCTCAAATCCCTTCACAAGACATCTCTGCCTGGAACTGTCCTTTTTTAAAGAGTCTTCATTGAGGAATGCACCTTTACCCATACTCCTGTAGCCTTTCTCTCTCTGCCCTGTAACTTCGTACACCCTAGCTTGTCTCCCTGCTGTAATCATAAGCATTTTGACTTATAAAAAACAATCTTTGTCATTTCGCCTATATGATGCACATCATATCAAAGATATATGCCAAAAAATACGCTCCCGAAAATGCACATTTGTTGTTTGAGGGGACATGACTTGAGCAATAGCATGGGCAAAACCATTTTATTGAGTGATTTGTTGCTTCTGATTGCTGACACACTCCTATTGATGGATGGCTAAATACAAAATTTTCAATTGATTGTCACGACATTATTGAGACTATTGAAAGATGATTGCATACTGTTATTGATTTCTTAAAAGAAGATTGTCAGTAGTAAGATGATCCCCTTGTACCTGGCCGAGGTTGTGAGATGGCCAAAGGCTGTGTCAGGGGGGGGGGGGGCGATCCCACAAAACGTCCTCTTGATGCCCACGTGCTCGTATTTTTGCAGAGTCTTGAGATGCTTTCAAAATCCACATCGCATTGTATGTTGTAAACCATGTATAGTTTGTAATCTCTGCGGTTGTAGGATCATCATGCTGCTGACACTGGCGCGAGTGGCACTGCTACTTGGGGCACTTGTCCGCGTCGCGTGCCGTCACAGCACCTCTGGACGAGGTCACTCTTCTGCCAGTGCCGAAGGCCGTGTTCCCCTAAAAGGGCGAACATCTACAAAATGTGAAATAAAGCACTTTGTGATTAAATTTAAAAACACCCCGATTCTCATTACTTTCACATCATTTACAACGCTGACACAGCCCCAATGCTCTAACCTCTGTGTGCGTTGGTGGAACAGCCGCACACGATTTAGTGGCACCTGCCGCAGGGCACGCGTGGGAACTTTCCAATGCAATTCAGCCCTGCAGAAATTTTCGTCCATGTTGAAATTTGTAGTGTTTCTAAGACTTGCATCCTGTTTTTATTTTTTGTTTATTTTCACCAAATAATTTGTTTCTTTTGAAGTGTCTATCCACACCTTACCATCCTGTTGTCTCCTTTCCTTCTCTGCCTTGAAGCCTCCCACCCCTCACTCTCCCCATTGAAGAACCATCACGAAGAAAATCCCTCTTCAAATTATCCTGATGTTCCCATTTTGCACATCCTCTTGAGGTGCGGTTGCATTTAGGGGCATCGTGAATCCAGGTTGTATTTTAAGCCGTTTCTCTTTAGACAGCGATGTTTTAAGAAGAAGGGTGGTGATATGTGGAGGCCCCTGATGGATCGGTAAGCGTTGGTGCCCCCCGTCTTGGTCATTATGCGGCCTGCATAGTAAGGGAGTAACGGTGGATTGATTCATCAACTTAAGTCCGTTCTTACCTTCTCGATACATGTATAATATTGGGCGCGGAAGAGTTGATTATTTACCATCGATATCAATTATGTGAAAACCTTACGGCGGAGAATGATGCAAACCAAACGTTGCAAATTCGACGGAACCAAAGATAAATGCGACAAAGCAAGTAAACTTGGGACAAAAAAAACGAGTCTATTCCTGAATCCAATCTCTTTTTTCACTTAATTATGACACTTCATCGAATTGCAGAGGAGATGGTGAATTATTACTACAGCCTCAGGTGTGGGAATGTAATGCACTTTCCTGCTGTTGCTGCTGCTGGTTTGCAGGACGGGGCTGCGTGGGATGCCCGTGTCGGTGTTCCCCAAGAGGGAGCCGCACAATGCCTACCCCGGCGAGCAGGAGAACCTTCACGCGCAGCTTGACCTGAAGCCGCCGCCGCTGCAGCTGTTGCACCCCGAGAACAACGGCAAGGTGGCGCCGGCGCCGCCCGTGGTGAAGACCGAGTGCGAGAACGGCGGCGCCTTTTTCCCGCTCTACTCCAAGGGCGCCCCGTACCCCCCGCCGTTGCTCATCCGCCACACCTACAACCAGTGCGTGCCGCAGCCTCCGCCGCGGACCATAAAGCGCGCCAAACGTGGCGCTGGCGGCAGCAGAGACGGCAGCGGCGCGGAACCCGAGAGCACCGAGGGGCTGCGCCCCCGCCGCGTGCTGTGCGAGCGGTGCCAGCGCGTAGTGAGCCGCGACGGGGCCGGCGCCGGCGCCACCGTGCCGTCATTACGCTTCCCGGGGGATGGCGGCGGCAGGAAGAGGAGGGCGGATGGCTCGCCCTGCGACAGGAGGGACGGGAGCCCGGAGGCCGGAGGCGGCCGCCCGTCGGCGTCGTCGCAGGGCTGCGTCCTCGGCGTGCCCCCCCGGCAGACTGTGTTCGGCAGGAGCCGGGCCCTCAGGGTCCCCGCGCGCGTCGGCCACGCTGCCAGGGCCCTCGGCTCGCGGCGCTGCCTCCCGGCCGACAAGCTAGAGCAGGCGAGGGCACGGGACGCGCTGCGCCAGTCCAAGGGCAAGGGCAAGAGGAGAACGCGGCGGCACTGCGCGGAGTCCCGCGCCGGGACCAGGACCCTGAGGCCGGACGGCGCCCGGGAGAACGGCTGCCGTGCCGACACCGACAGCGATGGCGCCAGCGTCGTCTCGTCCCAGGGCTCTGCCGCCAGGGCCGGCGTGAGGACCGCGCCGCACAGGGCGGTGAGGGACCACCACGTGAAGAGCTGTTGTAAGCAGGAGGAGGAGGCCGCCGCAACCGCTCAGCTGGGCGACAGCGCAAGCGGCGCGAGCTCTTCGGGTTCCCCAACGTCGCGATCCAGCACGAGTACCGCTCACGGTGCCTGCGTCGGACCGGAAGTTGTCATGGCGGCGTCGCCGGCGGCGTCGCCGGGGGCATCGCCGGCGCCATCGCCGGCGATGCCGCCAGGGACGGCAGCGCCGGCCGCGGTGCCGGCGACGTGCGGTGTCGACGCCAACGGGCCCGACGGGGGCTCGTGGCCGGTGCGGCACGGTGGGCGGCGGCGGCGCGCGAGGGCAGCGCGCGTGCACAAGAAGAGCGTGACGCGCTGCGTGACGCCGCAGGGCAAGGTGGTGTGCGTGGGCGACATCGTGTGGGCCAAGCTGCACGGCTGTCCGTGGTGGCCGGCGCAGGTCCGCAGTGTCAGCGTCAGCGTCCAGGTGCGATGCCGATTACAATACATTACAATACATTGTGAATGTCTGTAGCGTCCGAATGCAACTGTGTATCTAGATGCTGTCCATAAACATGGGGCATTTTTTTTAAATAATTGTCTGCGAAAAAAAGGAAAGCAGTTTGTGTGGTGGAGAGTAGACTGATATGAGAGAGGAAGAGGTGGGCTGGATCAATTTCGTGAAAAAACTGGAAGATGGTGAGTGCAATCCTCATGTTGATCTCGGAGCCAGTTTAGGGATTGATGTACCATGGGGGTCGCTCCACTTGAGAATCCGGTTTAATCACAGACGACTGCCTGGATTCTAAACCAATGTCAGCGGTGCCAGCTGACCGCTGCGACCTCAGAATCGTTTCAAGCCTAACGCGTGCATGCCTGCCCGTGCCCACGCTCGCGCACAGGAGGAGAGCGGCCTGGTGCTGAGCCAGGAGGCGAAGATGGCGTGGTTCGGCTCCACGACCACGTCCTTCCTGCCGCTCTCCCAGGCGGTGCCCTTCATGGAGAACTTCGAGGCGCGCTACAGCCGCCGCAAGAAGAGCAACGGCTACCGGCGCGCCGTCTCGGAGGCGGCCGAGGCGTCCCGGCGCCTCACGCCGGAGGTGCGCAAGCTGCTCACGCAGTTTGAGACGTAGGGGAGGTGTGGTGGCGGTGGCACTGGCCGCTGCGGCTGCGCGGGCAGGTGGGTGGCGCCGTCGGTCGCGCGTGGCCCTCGGGAAATTGGCAGCTCACGGCTCTCGTTGCTCCGTGGCCGACGCTTGCCTGTGCTCGCATGCGTGCCTGCTGTACATGCTGCGCTTGCCCGTCCGTGCCGTGGCTTGCCCGTGTGCGCCGTCGGTGCTTGCCTGTGCGTGCCCGCGTTTGCCCTCGCTTGCACATCCCGTGCACGTGCGCCTCTGCTGCTGGGTGCACACAATTTGAGACTGCATTGTGTGCGCGTGTTGGTGGCAGTGGTTCGAGCACTGCGCTACGAATCCGGCTACCTGGGTTTAATTCCAAGATGGAGGCTAGCTTCAGTGGCCCCTTGACAAGGTCAACTGATCCTTAAATGAGTATCCGGCGTGGTGTCTGTACATTGCACTAAGGAGAAAAAAGGCGTCGGGGCATGGTTCTGGCCACACTGACCCCTCATAGGCTGTGCCGGCATTGATTGGCGCTCGCGAACAGCAACACTCAGTGTGCCTAAATGGGATATCTGTGCGAGCCGTTTTGCTAATGCGTGGGTCTGCGTGCATGCCAGTGCACTTTACATAACGCCACTATCGCAAGAGGCACACTCTGAGCCCGCTTCCTCCCCATGCGTGCGCCGTCTTTTGAAGCAAGCTCAGGCCAATCGCTGGACTCCCTGACTACAGGAGAAATAGCCGCATCCGCCACTGGGCCACTTGCGTCCGGGTTTTGGCCACAACGCGGCTGGTCAGGCGCTCGTAACGCTAAACTGTTGCCTTGCAGACGGCAGCGGGAGTGTCGCGCTGCGGCCTGCTTGCCGGCTCGCTGCGCGGCTCGCGCGGAGCCAGGCCGTTCCCCGCGTCGCGTCCTCCCAGATGAACGCCACACTCCGCCACGCTCCGCCACAGCTGCTGTCAATGCACAGGCTCTGCCCCTCAGGGACGCTGCCCCTCTGCGAGAGGTGGGTACCGCTTTCCAGCTGCGCCACTGGCGTCGGCACCGCCGCCACCTTACGCTCCTATGAATGTCGCCCCCTGCTTCCTTCTCGGTGATCCCGCTGCGTGCGTTGCATCAGCGTCATGGAACCCCTGTAGCTTTGCGTCCTTCAACACGCGGTGGATATGCAGAGATTCTTTTAATAAGGTTACCGGGGCGGGGAAGGAGGTGGGTGCGTTGCCTGTGACTGTGTGCGAATCGCTTAGGACCAAGGCTTCTCAACTATAGGGGTCCGTAGACCCGTTGGGGTGGAGGGGAAGGGGACAGATAAGACAGGCCGAGAGCTTTATTGGGATGCACATGAAAATCCAAAGGGGGTTCACATTCGGGGTTTCATGAAAGAAACGGAGATGCAGTCTCACTGGATCCACATGTCAGTTGCCACTCCCCTTCACTTTATCGTTCAGACAATAGCCAGTGATACAGCCTTAGACACGTTACATAATTCTGCAAATATGACTCCACACAGCCAACACTGAGTGTGTATCCCCCTCTCAGGGGTCCTTGGTGCTAAAGCAGTTGAGAAGCCCTGGCTTAGACAAGGATTTGGTCGTGCGTGTGGATCGGAATTGGGGTCGACACTTAATCATCGCCGCCCCGTTCGATGTGGATTGTATCGGCGACCCTGAGGGTCACTGTGTCTCCACTACCGCCAACCACGTCTTGCCCGACTCAAGCCGCTGACCCCAACCCACCACCTATTTGTTTCTGCACCTATGGAAGAAACCAAAATTTGTTACTATTCATGAAGTAATTTAAACAGAATCATTTGGTTTGAGCTATCATGAAATCAAATCACGTCGTAGTAGACGCGTGATATTTTGGGCAGTGGCCTGAACGTGATGCTGCTGCTGGGCGTCCTGACATTTCAGAGTGACGGGGCAGCTTAGGTGTGCTGCAGGCTGTGGTGCCGCATGCCCTGGCGTCGTTTACACGTTTTGTTGTTTTGTTTCGTTAACTCTGTCTCCGGGGGGCGGGGGGGGCACTTGACGCGAGCGTCGCCATGGCAGCGCACCATCACGAGCGGCCACCTTGTCCCCCCGCCACTCCCCCTGGCCAACTGAATCCGCCTAGCCAGCATCTTTCGTCGGCAAGGTCCTGCTGACGATGCGTTTAACGAATTGGTGCTATGACATTCCTGGGGGTGTTCAGATGCTGCCTCTTTTCCATTTAAATTCTCTCGGTCGAAGTTACGCGGCGACACCTCATCCGCGTACCTGACGGCCACGTGGCGTCGTCGTCGTCGTCGCAGCCTGGCATTGTCATCGTGATGTCGGCGCGTGGCGTCGTCGTCGCCTGGCGTCATCACGGCGTGGCGTCATCGTCGCGGCGTGACGTCGTTGCATCGTCGCCTGGCGTCATCGCCTGGCGTCGCGTGGCATTGTCGTGACGTGACGTCATCGTCGTGGTGGCATCGCGTGGCATCGTCGTGACGTGACGTCATCGTCGTGGTGGCGTCGCGTGGCGTCGTCGTGACGTCATCGTCGTGGTGGCGTCGCGTGGCGTCGTCGTGACGTGACGTCATCGTCGTGGTGCCGTCGCGTGGCGTCGTCGTGACGTGACGTCATCGTCGTGATGGCGTCGCGTGGCGTCGTCGTGACGTGACGTCGTCGTGACGTGACGTCGTGGTGGCGTCGTTGTGGCGTCGTCGCGTGGCAGAGTCCGTAGACTCTGCTTCAAGCCACCCCCACGCAACATCCTCACTCATCCGGCCGCCATTTGGCGGCTGCGTGCGTCACCGATTGATTCGCACGCGAGTGCACACGCTGCCGCTGGAGGAAGCCTGGTCGTACCAGGGGCATTGGAAGCACCGGTGCTTTACACAGTTTTCGCGGAGCGCTCCCGTACTATGCTGATGCTCTGAATTTCAGAGCAACTGTACCGTACCGCAACTTTACGCTGCTCTGCCCCAAGTTTGTTTCGCCCGCGCGGCAGCGAGCTGTTTTGCTGTGCGTTCGCCCGCACGCCGATTGACGACGCTTAATCAGGCGTGCTCGCATCTTGTTTTAATAAGCGGGAGTCTACGTCGCTCATGGAAAGCCCAATCCAAAGCTGTGCTCGGCATGCAGAAAACGTCATCGTAGGGATTGTAATTGGTTGATGGAATGTTCGTACACATTTTAAGGCCTTATCGGAGTCGTGTTGCTTCCGCCCTGTGACGGCGTAAAAACCGTTGCCGTGCTCACGTCGCCATCTGTCTCTGCTGACCTCGGCGTCCGCACCGCGTCGCCTCGCTCGGCCTCGCTCGGCCTCGCTCCTCCTGGGACGTCGCCGGTCTCCGCACGGCGTGCTGGACGCGAGCCGTGTCGAGGTTGAGAGATGAGAGTGGCAATCCGGTGACATCTCCTACTTCCTAGCGGTATGGTCACGTCTTGATGTGCCCCAGCACTTCCCCTCGCGCACACATGCTTCGCCACATTATGTTTACACGGATTTTCCATTTTTTCCGCCCTGATTACGTTCGTGCTGTGCCGTCTTACAGTCGGCAGTGTGCCGCCATGTGTTAGAGAGTGGCCCCAAACTTTATGAAACAACTTCATTCGCCTCTTTATCCACACCAAGAGCACACCCTGTCATCTTATATGGAATGGAACAAGTCTTCTTAGCACGTCATGTAAACTAATATTTATAATTCTCACAACTGGAATATGATAAATTGATTGACAAAAATATGTAGTTTGATGGTTTTCGGGTTATTTTTTGTACTGGCACAGGTGGCCAGTCTGAGACCATCAACTTGCGACGCTTAATAACCCGGTTTAGTGACGGGCGGGCGGCTCAAACCGAAATTCAAACCCGGGGTCTCGGCGGTGCTGGCTTGGCGCTCTGACTCCGCGCCACCCGGTGACCTCCATCTGCCAGATTGTGTGACGCATCAGTTGCTGCTGCCTTTATGGGTTTACGAAGATGTCGCGGCTGTACCGACAGGCAGCAGCGGTGCGTGGGGGTTGGTTTTGTTTGTGGAAAGTTGCACCTGCATTGGCTTTAATGGCGTGGCGTCGCTCATGGTACATCGCGCCCGCTGTGATGATGTGGGATGGCTGGTGTCCAGGTGCCTGTGCAGGCTGCGTAGCGAGTGTGAGGCCACGGGTTTACGAGCTGTGCTGTGTGAGCTGTGAGCGAAGAGACTTGGAGGGGGATGACGTTGGCATACTACAACCGCTGCTGTTTGTAACTAAACGTTTGCGTTCGTACGCACGAGGCGAACCTCCTTCAAACATGAATGCAAACGCTCCCTGTGGCTGTTTTAAGAGTCAATCCATGATTCAAATGTCACAACAAATAAGCCCGTTTTTGTTAGGAGGGCGGGAGACGATTACCGTTGTTGAGACATTGTGTGCACGTGACCACCGATGCGATGAGGGTGACACGGCCCAATACTCGCGTGTATCACTCCAGGACCTCTCGTGGTTCCATGACCATTGGGCGCAGTGGCCCCTTGAACAACCAAGTTCTATTGCAGGATGAACTGCACGATACTGGTTCTTGTTAACCTCCTGCTGTGCAGCCTGAGTGTGAGCTGGTGCTGCTGCTGGTGCTCTTTGTGGTGCTGGTGCTGCTGATAGTGCTGGTGGTGGTGCTGCAGCTGCTTGTGGTGGTGTGTATTATCATGCTGCTGTCGGCTGATGTGGTGGTTGATGCTTGTGTTGTGGTGGTGGAGGTAGTGGTTGTTTTTTGTGGTGGTGGCTCTTGATCCGTGGTGGCTACGTGGGGTTGTGACAAGTGTTTGCCCTGTCTGGCTATGCATCCTATGTACGTCTGCGAGTAAGACTTTTGCCCCCTTTAGCTGATCCCCTCTGCTCCCCTCTTGGATTAAACCATGGCTTCACCTACCGGCTTTGAGTAACGAGCTACGGTGTCACCTATGAGGGACACGTAAAAAAGAATGCCTGCTTGGGTCTCTTAATAACCTTCACTGAACCAATACAAAAATGTACCATTCACTGGTAGCAATGTTATGAATGTCTATAAAATTTGTTTTCTGGCAAAAGTCTTCCTCCTGCAAGACAATTTCAGACCACATACGAGCCTGAGAACATGAGAGACCAGTGGACAGTATATTCACCAGACAGCCATATCTGGCACGGCAGGATGTTCATCTGTTTGGCCCTTTAAAGTTTGCCTGTGGGCCAACATTTTGTAAATAACACAGCTGTTCACAAATTGTTTTGACACTGATGAATCCCTCAACTACGGTGGAATGCTGGCCCTGGTTCTACTTTGGTGCAAGCACATTGCAGTGGACCGAGAGTAAAAAACTAAACTTTCAAAATGAGACAAACTAAGGACACATTTTCCATAATTTAAATAGATTTCATCATCATCAGCCATGATCCGTGCACTGCTGGATGCAGTGCCTCCCCAAGCCATCGCAATCTCTCAATTCGATGTTGTTACAATGACCCCCCTTGTAGCCTAAACAGACTGTTGGGGCACGTGCTGTTCGCGAGCACCTATGAAGGCCGGCATGGCACACAAGGGGGCGGGTGGCCAGCACCACGTCCGGGTGCCTTTGTCTCCCCAGTGGCGATGTTTTACACACCGCACCAGGTACTCTTTTGAGGCTGAGTCGACCTAGGGGAGGCCCAGGACCAGTTCAGATATTCGTCACTGGTGTTGGCCGTGAGCGGGAATCGAACTCGCGTGGCTGGATTTGTAACGCGGTGCGCTAACCACTGCACAAACCGCCGAGCACCTTCACACGACCTGATATCATCGGTCCATCTTTTGTCGTGGACGTACTCTCTAGAGTGTTCCCTCCTTGCGCTGCCACTCGATTGTCATGCCCTGTTATGAAATAGAAGGCATTACTTTTCTGGGCGTCCCTCGTATCCCGAATGTGTTTCCACGAACCCGCTGTGATAGGTGTCCCAAATCCGAAAGAGCAATTGGCGTGTAGGTTTTTATATCGTACATTTAGTGGCTGCTGGCTCCACACATGCACGTCACCCCCACGTACGTGTTCCATGCGTCCAATATGTCTTTGTTCTAATTTTATCCAATGCCGCATGGGATGAATTTTTTTGCTGCTCGTCAACGGAGGTGTGCTTCTCTGCACCTCCGGTACATGGCGGCCCGTCTCGACTGAGCTGGGATTGTGAGCTTCGCACTAATGCTGTAGACTCTGTAAAAAAAATATTTTTTTAAGTTGAAATGTTATGTAGTATTGTGTAGTAAGTCAGAGCTGATGATGGCAAACATTTTACTGACACCTCTCCACGCACCGCTCCCTCTACGCCCCAGTACAATCTGGTTTATCACCCAAGGCCATTTCACTGCTATCCTACGTGTGGTCAGTAAATTAATTATCTCCATCGACCGTGGATCGCTATCACTCTGTTTCTCCTAGACCTCCGCTTTCAACGCCATTGACGTCTGCGCAGGAACTTGTCTATAAGTGCGTAGGTTCCTCCAGCTCGCTTCTCTCCTGGTCTGCTGCTACCTCTAAAAACACTTCTGCTGAATTTCCATACAAGGACAGTCTAACTCTCAGAAACCCCTGTGCTGTCGTGTTCCAATGGTTCCACCCTCGCCCCTGCCACTTAGTTAATTCATCTCCCGTACAAAAATATATATAATTTGGTATTTCACTTAGATTCGCTGCACTCGAGAACCTGGTATAACTATGGTGTCGGCTCAGTGGTCCCCACATCACTGGGCTTGTACTTGTGGTTCTTGGTAGCATTACGATTATATCATTGCCATAACGCCTGGCGCTGTGTTCACCATCGTGATGTGCTCCCGCATTTTCTCACTTTGGAAGCAGTGGTCATGTCTCTCTGTGGCTAGATTTCGTTTCTCAGCCTAACTTGTGATTGAGTTAGGAACTCGCGTTGCTTGCGTAAGTAGGGTAAAGCTACCAATGTGTCACATTTTGGCCACGACAGCCTTTGTGAAAATCGATGTTGTCTGGTTTTAAATATTTTGGCCTCGTGCACAATTCATGATAGGGGATGAAGAAAGTAACGTGGCCTTGTGCGTACCCTGAACATTTGGTGGGGCCTTGGTGGGCATAGCACGTCGTAGGCATGGCCGGCATCATAAAGAGGCAACACACTGAGCTGGTGGATTAAGTGGGTGGGGCTGACAGAGGGGAGGGGCTGCCAGCTCAATGTTTGTCCCGGTTGAGCCTTCCAGATAATTGGTAGATTTAACGTGGGGACTGAATCGTCCATCTATGCAATAATCTGCATCCTGGATGAGACGCTTTGGTCATGAGGTGAACTCCACCATCATGGCAGCAGTGAACTTGCAAGAATGTGATGTCTGTGCTGGTGATGCCAGAACATCCCTGAAGTTCACTTTGCAGCAGACGGCTTGAACCTTGCCACTTGAAGGCTGTAAAAAAACTAAATATGGCTGTCGTACGACTTGAATTGCGTTCAGACAGGTTGAGCTCTGTGCGAGTCGCACCACCTGCGTCCCCCTCCCTCAAGCCCGGGGCCCATTTCACCTTCCCCAGTGACGTTTACAATAAACAAAGAGCAACTTGCCCGAGGCTCTTTCCCAGATTCTATTTTTAACTTAACGCCACCGCCACCACTTCTATGCACCCCTTGTAATCCTGAACCTTGGTTACTGGCATCGGTGCGGTTGCAGCGTCTGAGAAGCGACACGTTTCATTCTTGAAATATTGCGAGGCGCTTTGATCGCGGTAAAACCTACTCCTGACGGATCGCAGGAGTATCCTCCCGAGACGTCGAGCGTCCGGTCCGAGTGCTTCTCACCCCAGGACCAATCGTGACCGGGCTGAAAGACAAAGCGGCCGCGTCGTGTACCTAGCGCCAGTAGTAGAAGTTAGAACAGATTATATTTTTGAATTTCTCTTTTGCTGAGCGCACTCATTATGTAAACGGTGTGCCCTGGGTGACCATTGGCCATCACCCAAACACAGCTGTGGGCTCGGTAGGGCGCTGCACTGCCTCCACCGATAAAGGCCCGGCACTTGCGTGTGAGAATTGGTTTTGATGTACAGAAACAATGCAAGGTAACGGGGATAACAGTAGAATTGGAAACCGCTGGCCATGTAACGATTCACCCCCCCCCCCCCGACTCTCCAACAATTCTATGAATTGGCACGATTCGGAGTGTCGATTTAATCCAATAATCATTCTTTTTTTTATCGACTTTGTCTCAACAGTAAAGTTTTCTTTGTTACATTAGCCTAAATGGAACTTGAGCATATCGTTTGTGTAAATTGTACTCAATAGATTCTTACACAGAAGACTCGATGCGTGTCTGAGGGAAATGATCTATTTTATTCTGAATCGTCACGTGCCCCCCCCCGGTAGCCAAGTTGTTTGGCGGTCGTGGGACTTGCCTTGTTGAGACGCTCACCGCTCGTGAAATCGCACAAAGCGTCACGACGCAGACTCCCACGTAGGTGCATTTCTTTGTCTCTGTCGCTTACGTTGTAAAACGTCTCTTCGGCTCCAGTTAATATCACACTCAGCTGTTGTCTTACTTGAAGTTACCTTGTGCATATATATTTTTTTAAACCGAAGACTGCTCGGAAACGGTGTAAATTATTTTCTAACTAGTAACGGAAATGCATTGCCTTTAGGGAACAATGCTAAACGTGGCTTAAGTATAATGCATTTCTTCCTTTTGTTTTGAATGTCCCAACTTGTATATGACCCCACAACTGCAATGGAATCTGCCCCCACCCTTTTTTATATTGCCGTTTGATTTGAGTGGTTTTGAGAGTGGCGAGGCCATAGTAAATACTGTATAATATCGTCTTCATACTAGATGTCGTCCCGTAGTTGTGGTCCACTATGCTTAGCGTGTAGGGGACAGTATTGCTTTCATCACATGCATTACCATTTACTGTGAACAATAAAGTATTGATGCATCGCGGAGTGAAGGCCAGGCGTCTGCTTATTTCTAAATGTGCGTTGTGCAGGCATGGAACTGCGGTGGGCACCCACCACCAGTTGATTCCACACACGAGTCGTACATTTACACAAAGTAGCCAGAGGCGCCAAGTTTAATTGTTGCCGGAAGGCCGTACACTGACATCACAATTTTACCATGAGACTAACAAAGGCGTTCACAACCTAGTCAAACAAATTGGGTGTTTGTGTATATGTTTAAACATTATATACACGGGGACAATGTACACAAGACTCACGTTCCATTGAGCTTTACCATCCATGGGCCAGATCACATTCTTAACTTGTTCAAACGTTGGTTTTATATTTTGGAAAAGGTCTATGGCCAGATGTGATATATGAATGAGTAGTTCAACTTTATTGGCTACCCTTGCAAAATACTTTTCCTCTTGCAAAAATACAAAAGACTGCTCATGGCTCTCGCCTGGTTCTTAGATTAACTCCTTTAACGGTTTTATGTATTGTTACGATTCAATTCAAGAATAGTTGTTTTATTGTGAAGGTTGGCAGATGTATGCATGTTGTTCAAATTATTTCGCACCGTACGTAGCCAACCGTGCAATTCGGAGGTGCTGAAGGTCAACAGACTAAACACAAAAGCAGTTCTGAGGATGTCGTGGCTGTGCTGATGATGTGAACAAGTTAATTGACAAACGGAAAAACACCAATTCTTAGAGATGCGGTGCGATGCATATATCACGAGCTGAAAAATCAACGTAATGTCGTTTTTCTAATAAAATAATTTATACCTACTTGCTTTCAATGTTTGTACGCACAAGGACATTGGTTCGTAACAATTCCTGCACTGGCCCACGGACTGAAGAGTGATATTTATATCCATGCAAGGTATGTGCGTCATGTAGGGGGCTGTGGAGCAGGCGCGGTGCGCAGAGGCTGCGTAGGCGACACGTAACGTGAAGGTCGCGTTTCGTGTTGGCACCGCGCAGCGTCGCGATGGCAGCAGTTTTGGCGCTGTCTGGGCGCCGCCCGTTCCACTCCCTATCCACACCTCAGGTGCCGAGCCTGAGCACCGCGGAGATGATGACGGCCGTAGTGACCATGAGGGTGAAGGGCAGCCACGTCTTCAGGAAGCCCCACATACTGCGCACACATATGTACGCATGCACGAGATAATTAGGAGTCATCGCATGGCACAGCAAAGGCACAGCAAGGCCACAATAAACACAGTAGCGCTAACAGGGAAATACTTATCCGCGCAAAGAGCGTGAGTGGTGGGTCCTATTATCCGCAAGTAGTCGTACACCGAATAGCACTTTATTACATTTAATACCTTGTCTAGTATTCATAGCAACTCGTCAAATGTTTTTCCAATAAACTGATAACTCATGGCAACCAGAGAAACAAATGATTGCTAGGTGGTAGGTTTAACCATAACATTCCCAACAATCATACCGACGTTTACACACGTGTGTGCGTGTCGTGTAGCGGTTAGCACAATGCATTCCAAACCCAGTAACCCAAGATCAGTGAGGAAAATCTGAACTGGTCCTGGGCCTGCCCTAGGTCAACTCAGCCTTGCACGAGTACCTCATCAAAGGCGTGCTGTACCAGCCTTCACAAGTGCTCACGAACAGCAGCCTGTGTAGGCTACACGGGGGAAGTGCTGTCTGTGTGCACGTCCATACCTCACGTGGCGTCCCCGCACCAACATGAGCACGCAGAGCCGCACCATGCCCCAGTCGTCACGCCCTCCGTACCGCATGAGGTTGAGTGCCATGGCGACGTGCGAGTGGCAATTGTCGCAGCATAAATTGTGCTGCATAGACGCACAAATCGCACCCGCCACATTCCCTTCTGGCTGTATATTTGTACAGTGACTTGTTATGCAAACGCATTTATTATGCAACACTTTCCAGTTTTCCTTAAAACGATATTTGACCATCCAGTACAAAAGCTGAAGGGTTCGGAGCAGGCCAGAAAGTGTTTGCTTATTTGCAAATAAGATTTCTCTGGTTCGTCTCTCTAATAAATTTGGTAGTTTTTCAATGGGCAAGTCACTCGTAGCAATATAACCTGACATTACAGGTTTGTTCACATTGGATCTTTACAAAAATTAATAGCATCCCCTCCCCCCCTCCAGACAGAGCTAAGGCTTAATACCTTTTCATTCGTTGGAAAGCGTTCATAACCAAGGGATTTATCCAGGAAATCTTGCTGGGTCCAGAGGCTTGCAGGAAGGCATTGCACCAGTTATTCTCATGAGTGGTTTGCATATGGGCAGAAACCAAAGGTGTGGCTGATACCAAGAGGTCCCTTACGGACAAGTTCATAAACCCCCTTGCTATGCTGGTATTTCTTGGCCATCTCAGTCCAGCGGGGCTTTTGGGATTTCACGAATCTGAGTAACCAACCCTCAACTCTACAGCAATGGATCGCAGGTGTGGGCCACCACACCCGGCTGTGGGAAGCTGAACGGATGCTGGAAGGACACTCACTTCTCATGGCTATCTCCAGGACATCCTCGGAGTGTATTCAATTGGCAGCATCTTTTGTTTGGCTACAGATTATTTTGGTGTTACTGCATCGGCAGTGGTGCATAAACAACAAAAAACTCATCACAATGCCTTATAAAGAAAAGAAAAAAGGTAATGTTTTGGACAATGGCCCTACTTCACAGCAAATAGGCCAGAGAAGTAAATAAACTATTCGATACAATTTATTTTTAAGACTCCGTTACTGACATACGTTTTTTTGTTCGTAGGGTACCAAACGCAATGTGGAAGCTGCCTCGATGTGGCTTGTCAGCTCTAACTTCCCCATGCAGTCAGAGGTTCTTAGACAATACTTCACCATGGATGTTGCTGAACTGCCCTCTGCTGACCACCCCGCGAGCTGCAGAAAACTACAACTTTTCGTGCACGGTAGTTGTCCACCCAAACACGATCCAGGATCGACATGCACGAACACTCCCCGGGTTAATCCAGGCTGAATTCCACAAGGGGCTCGCAGACACTAACCAGATGTTGGGCTCATGAATTTTTTTATAATTCACAGGTATGTGTTAAGGGGGTGGGTGGGGGATTGTGGTCGGACGTGCCATGCGATGCTTGTATTCTTCCGAGGCCTCGCTGATGGCCTTGTCCCACGCATTGGGGTGACTGACCCCAATCTTGCTCGGCTCCAGCATCCAGTACCTGCAAGACCAGCACCAGCGGACTCGTCAGGACTCGGCTATCACAGCCCAGCTGGTGCCAGCAACACGTTCGCACGTCAAGATAAATAAACATACATCATGACCAATACTCCCACCATCCCTCATTACCACACTACAAATCCCACCACCGTCATAACCACCCCACGTCTCCTTCCAGCAGCACCGTTTATCGGTATCGTCATGCACTCCGGATCTCCATTGTAAAGTGGCTGGGCAACTGGCTCAACAGGATCATCCGTGTAACAAATACAATTTAACACACTCAAAGTTTTATCTCACACTCAATGCCTGGTCACCATCCACTGCCAACACCACCACCGCTTAATAATCACCAAAATGTTTACGGTCACTACCCACCCCTTGTGACTACAGCATACGTCATTGCAAATACAGGCCAGACAACAACAACAACAACCACCACCACCGTGACGCCTTTAACAACCTGGGGTGGTGGAGTGAGCGAGGCAGGCGGTGATTTAAAGCCACTCACCGGGTGGGGTTCCCAAACGCCATGTTATCCTCCTGAAAATGAGAACCGTGTCAAAAAAACATCTAGATTCACGCGACTTTTCTTGCCAGTATCAAAATATAAGAATTGTTTTTTTTACCTTTTCTGGCAATAATACAGAGGGGGTGTTAAGATGTTCAAACACCAAACAGAAACCTTTTGCAAGGAATCGTGTCTTTATTAACCACACTTCATACTTGTGGTGAATATGTAAACAAAAACATGCTCTGGTAATATGTATTGTCTTTGAAAATGATTGGGCCACACTTGTGGCGGGTGAACGACAGATTTATACGCGATCTAACCCCAAACAAACACCTGTATTATATTCTAGATTTGAAGCTTTCGTGACTGCAAGGATTCATACTCTTTGGTTTTATTCGGTCAAGTCACGTAGATATCTACGTAGTTTATCTACGTGACTTGACCGAATAAAACCCAAGAGTACCTGTATTATAGTTAACATCTCATAGCCACCGCAACGCTTCTGAGAATGTTGCGACGACACCACGAGAAACGTGCCGCCCCTCCGGGCTCTGGAGACCTCCGGGCTCTGGAGACCTCCTGGAGAAGATCCCAGGCACGTGTTGACAATGATGGCGAACAAGTGGAGGAGACTCACTTTTAGCAGCTATTAACATACATTCGTTATCACGTTACAGTATTATCCGGGTTCCCACCCCCCCATTAAAAACGACAGTCCCCATGTTAATGTGTTTTTTGAAGCGCCCTGCAATACAATAATGTGTGACGACGCCACGTTGGTGTCACCCACCGACACGTAGTAGGGCCCCGCGAAGTCCCTGATCACCCCGGACGACATCGCAATGCCCATGTGCCCAATGAAGGGCACGAACCAACTGCACACAACGGGGGGGGGCACGTTGATGCACGGCTGGGCGTGAATGCGCCTCATGGCTTGCAGCGTCACGTTCACACACCACGCACGTGTGTTGCACTGTGCTGTGTATATACCCTACGTGCAGTTGTATCGTTTGCGTACTGTAAACTACTACTATGTGTGTGTGTACTGTGTTGTAAACTGTCATTTGTAGTGTGTGTGCTGTGTCTAATGTGGACTGTAATGTGTAGTGTCAGTGTGTACTGTGTTGTAGACTGCAGTGGATGAGTGCCCTGTGCAGTTCGCCTGTAGGGTGTAGTATTTGTAGACTATAGTGTATGTGTATAGTGTATGTGTGTACTGTATTGTGGACTGTAGTGTGTGTACTATATTGTGGACTGTAGTGTGTGTACTGTATTGTAGACTGTCGTGTGTATGTGTGTACTGTATTGTAGACTGTTGTGTGTATGTATGTACTGTATTGTGGACTGTAGTGTGTGTGTGTACTGTATTGTAGACTGTAGTGTGTATGTGTGTACTGTATTGTAGACTGTTGTGTGTATGTATGTACTGTATTGTGGACTGTAGTGTGTATGTGTGTACTGTATTGTAGGCTGTAGTGTGTACTGTATTGTAGACTGTAGTGTGTACTGTATTGTAGGCTGTAGTGTGTACTGTATTGTAGACTGTAGTGTGTGTACTGCATTGTAGACTGTCGTGTGTATGTGTCTACTGTATTGTAGACTGTAGTGTGTACTGTATTGTAGACTGTAGTGTGTATGTGTGTACTGTATTGTAGGCTGTAGTGTGTACTGTATTGTAGACTAGTGTGTGTACTGTATTGTAGACTGTAGTGTGTACTGTATTGTAGGCTGTAGTGTGTATGTGTGTACTGTATTGTAGACTGTAGTATGTGTGTACTGTATTGTAGACTGTAGTGTGTGTACTGTATTGTAGACTGTAGTGTGTATGTGTGTACTGTATTGTAGACTGTAGTGTGTGTACTGTATTGTAGACTGTAGTGTGTATGTGTGTACTGTATTGTAGACTGTAGTGTGTGTGTGTGCTGTATTGTAGACTGTAGTGTGTATGTGTGTACTGTATTGTAGACTGTAGTGTGTGTGTGCTGTATTGTAGACTGTAGTGTGTATGTGTACTGTATTGTAGACTGTAGTGTGTATGTGTGTACTGTATTGTAGACTGTAGTGTGTATGTGTTCAGTTTTTTTCAGTTATGTATTTGCTATAGCCGTGTGAGCCATTCGGCTCTTGAATCGGGTGCAACCACAACAAACAAAAACATGAACAAGAAAACATCTTAAAGTGACTATGTGACTGCAAACAGAAAATCCATGAAAAAACAGCAAAATATTCCTGAAAAAGTCAAACAACAACAAGACAACTTAAATTAAGGCCATCAGTCTAACTCGGTACTACAACAAAACAAACATGTCCAAACCAAAAAACTTTTCGAAATCACCAAAAAGTAAAGCCATAATTGCAATGTAACAGTGATCATAGGGACTGTGACCGAATTTTTAACAATAAAGTCCATAAATAACATAAACAAACCCTAGTCACAGCTGGCTGCATGAGTCACTCCACAACAACAGGAGCATCAGTCGGAGTATCAAATTTTTCAATGCACCTTTAAGATCAGCACTCTAAATCAAAATACAGATAATACTTTGCAGCGGTCATCCGGAGCGAACCATTTTATTTCATTTTACGCCAATGAATAGCAGTGGCAGCTAGGGGTGTATAACTCGCAGTTTTGATTGAAGATCTCATACGTAGTGATTCAAGTTGCAGTTTATTGGCAATAGCATTCCAGACCGTGGGGGCATCAATAGCAAAGGCCCTTCCTCCATAGTCTTTGGTTCTATTCGGTAAAGTCACGTAGGTAAAAAATAAAACAAAAAATCATGACGTTTCGGCCACAACACAAGTGGCCTTCATCAGGTGAAAAACTCTAACAGATAGGTGAAAACCCTCCCCGTAGAGGCTATCAATTCTAGATTTGAAGCTTTCGTGACTGCAAGGATCCAAACTCTTTGGTTCTATTCGGTAAGGTCACGTAGGTACGGCAATATGGAATGTGAAGCTGGTAAATGAGCGAAGACCTGAGGTCAAATTTGTTCTTTGAAACAGAGGAGAGATCCAGCAGGTAGTCTGCGGATTTTTTTGTAAGTACATCGTGAATAAATAAGATCTGGTGTACAAGCTGTCGAACATTAAGAGATGTTAAGTTTGACCCAATGTAGAGATCACAGTGGTGAGTCCTATATGGGCAGTTGAATGTAAATCTCAAGGCCGAGTGATAGATGGAATCAAGCTTCTTCAGTACAGTACTGGAGGCTGATTTATACACGATGTCACAGTAATCAAGTAGAGGCAGTATGGTAGCTTTTATCAATTCCAAACGGAACATAGGGTGGAAGCAGTGCTTGTGTCGATACAGAAAACCAATTTTTCTTTTTGTCTTTTTATCAATATAATCAATGTGATCTTCAAAATTTAGTTTTTAATCTAGGATGACCCCAAGATACTTATAGATCTTGACTTGCTCTATTTGATAATTATTTAAGGAATGTAATTGGGGAAAAATAACTTACTGCTTTAGTCCTGGTGAGAAGCATAGCACCTTGGTTTTGGAGGTATTCAGGACTAGTTTAAGAGCAACTAGCTGATGTTGTAGTTTGTTGAAATCACCTGGAGCTTAGCAATATGTTTGCACAGTCACATAGTCACTTTAAGATGTTTTTCTTGTTCGTGTTTTTGTTTTATTTGTTTGTTGTGGTTGCACCCGATTCAAGAGCCGAACGGCTCACAGGGCTATACCAAAATAAACTGAACTGAATCACGTCATCCGGAGAGCGGCCAGCAGTAATCAGCATCGTGTCATCTGCAAAAACATTACCCTGGAATGATCCAGGTCAGTGCCCAAGTCATTGACATAAAGAGAGAACAAGAGGGGGCCGAGGATGGAACCCTGTGAAACCACTTTTGTTATCTTAACACTGTTTGACCTCCAACCATCTGTGAATACAGTTTGGGTGCGAGAAAAGAGGTAATTTTATTTACCGTTTTACTGCGTTTTTGGAAAAACCGAGGCAACTTAGTTTACTAAGCAGGGTGTTGTGGTCAACTGTATCAAAAGCTTTGGACAGGTCAAGAAAAAGACAGGCACAGTACTGCTTATTATCAAGGCTACTGTAAATGTAATCCAGAGAGTCTAATGCAGCAGATGTAGTGCTGTATTTTTTTCGGAACCCAGATTCTTTTAGATGTAGTAGATTGTTGGTGGACAGGAAACTGCTAATTTGGTAGTTTAATAATTTTTCAAAAATTTTCGTCAACGGGGACAAAATTGAGATAGGTCTGTAGTTATTTGGGTCATCTTTAGGGCCCCCTTTGTGAAGTGGACGGACATAGGAATGTTTCCATTCTAGAGGAACTGATGCTTCTTTGATTGACAGGTTGAAAATATTGGCTATAGGTTTGTATATTAGGTGACCAACAGTTAGTAGAGCAAAGACGGGAAAACTATCTGCTCCGGTAGAGGAGGACCCTTTGAGGTAGGACAGTTGTTTCAGAACATTACTTTCGTGGATTGGCTGGAAACTAAATTCGTTTAATGTTTGGACAGGGGTGTAGGAATTTGCATGAGCAGGGGTGACTCCCAATACATTATCACAAAGATTACCAGCTTCAGAAAAATGAATGGACTGGGGGGGGGGGGGGAGTCGGGGTGGAGGTGGGAGGGGAGTCGAGGGGGGGGTTGGGAGGGGGATCGAGAGGGGCTGGGAGGGGAGTCGAGGGGGGTGGTAGGGTGGGAGGGAAGTTGAGGGGGGTGGGAGGAGAGTCGAGGGGGGGGTCGGGGGGGGGTGGGAGGAGAGTCGAGGGGGGGGGGATCGGGGGGGGGGATCGGGGGGGGTGGGAGGGGAGTCGAGGGGGGGGTCGGGGGGGGTGGGAGGGGAGTCGGGGGGGGTCGGGGGGGTGGGAGGGAGTCGAGGGGGAGGGTCGGGGGGGGTGGGAGGGGAGTCGAGGGGGGGGGTCGGGGGGGGTCGGGGGGGGTGGGAGGGGAGTCGAGGGGGGGGGGGTCGGGGGGGTGGGAGGGGAGTCGAGGGGGGGGGGTCGAAGGGGGTCGGGGGGGGGGGGTGGGAGGGGAGTCGAGGGGGAGTCGGGGGGGGTGGGAGGGGAGTCGAGGGGGGGGGGTCGGGGGGGTGGGAGGGGAGTCGAGGGGGGGTCACGTCATCCGGAGAGCGGCCAGCAGTAATCAGCATCGTGTCATCTGCAAAAAGATTTACCCTGGAATGATCCAGGTCAGTGCCCAAGTCATTGACATAAAGAGAGAACAAGAGGGGGCCTAGGATGGAACCCTGTGGAACCCCTTTTGTTATCTTAACACTGTTTGACCTCCAACCATCTGTGAATACAGTTTGTACTGTATTGTAGACTGTAGTGTGTGTGTGTACTGCATTGTATACTGCAGTGTATGTGTGTACTGTATTGTAGACTAGTGTATATGTACTGTATTGTAGACTGTAGTGTGTACTCTATTGTATACTGTAGTGTATGTGTGTACTGTATTGTAGACTAGTGTATATGTACTGTATTGTAGACTGTAGTGTGTGTACTGTATTGTAGACTGTAGTGTGTGTACTGTATTGTAGACTGTAGTGTGTACTGTATGTGTGTACTGTATGTGTGTACTGTATTGTAGACTGTAGTGTGTATGTGTGTACTGTATGTGTGTACTGTGTGTACTGTAGTGTGTAGTCGCGTGAATGAATGGGGCCCAGGGCCCCGTCCCTCGCCTGAGACACGGGATGGGAGTCCACACCACGCAGAAGGGGAAGCGGCTACGTGCCACGTCCACGTCGCTCCACGCCTGCCCGGGCCTCATGTCTCCCGTGTCTCTGTCTCCCGCGTCTCCCGTGTCTCTGTCTCCCGTGTCCCTGCCTCCCCCACGTCCCGTCTCCTCCATGCGCCGTTGACAACCGCTCCGCACACGGTGGTGCCAACTCAGAGGGGGTTTACCTCCAGATACACAGCAGTTCCGGTGCCAGATCAGAGGCTTTACCTCCATGTTGAGTCAGTTTTGTTTCACCTCCAGGTAGAGGCGTGAGTGGTTTACCTGCAGACAGAGAGCTTGTGTGGTTTCAGGTCATCAGGTGGTTTCGAAAGAAACACATCTCCTCTGGCACTAGTGATCTGGAGGGAACCCCTCTGTTCTGGTTCTCGTGATCTAGAGGGAAATCCTCTGTTCTGGTTCTCGTGATGTAGAGGGAAATCCTCTGTTCTGGTTCCAGTGATCTAGAGGGAAATCCTCTGTTCTGGTTCCAGTGATCTAGAGGGAAATCCTCTGTTCTGGTTCTCGCGATCTAGAGGGAAATCCTCTGTTGTGGTTCCAGTGATCTAGAGGGAAATCCTCTGTTCTGATTCCAGTGATCTAGAGGGAAATCCTCTGTTCTGGTTCCAGTGATCTAGAAGGAAATCCTCTGTTCTGGTTCCAGTGATCTTGTGGGAAATCCTCTGTTCTGGTTCCAGTGATCTAGAAGGAAATCCTCTGTTCTGGTTCTAGTGATCTAGAGGGAAATCCTCTGTTCTGGTTCCAGTGATCTAGAGGATAATCCTCTGTTCTGGTTCCAGTGATCTAGAGGTAAATCCTCTGTTCTGGTTCCAGTGATCTAGAAGGAAATCCTCTGTTCTGGTTCCAGTGATCTAGAGGGAAATCCTCTGTTCTGGTTCCAGTGATCTAGTGGGAAAGCCTCTGTTCTGGTTCCAGTGATCTAGTGGGACATCCTCTGTTCTGGTTCCAGTGATCTAGAAGTAAATCCTCTGTTCTGGTTCCAGTGATCTAGAGGGAAATCCTCTGTTCTGGTTCTAGTGATCTAGAAGGAAATCCTCTGTTCTGGTTCCAGTGATCTAGAGGGAAATCCTCTGTTCTGGTTCCAGTGATCTAGAGGGAAATCCTCTGTTCTGGTTCCAGTGATCTAGAAGGAAATCCTCTGTTCTGGTTCCAGTGATCTAGAGGGAAATCCTCTGTTCTGGTTCCAGTGATCTAGAGGGAAATTCTCTGTTCTGGTTCCAGTGATTTAGAGGGAAATTCTCTGTTCTGGTTCCAGTGATTTAGAGGGAAATCCTCTGTTCTGGTTCTCGTGATCCAGAGGTAAATCCTCTGTTCTGGTTCCAGTGATCTGGATGGAAATCCTCTGTTCTGGTTCTCGTGATCTAGAGGGAAATCCTCTGTTCTGGTTCCAGTGATCTGGAGGGAACCCCTCTGTTCTGGTTCCAGTGATCTAGAGGGAAATCCTCTGTTCTGGTTCCAGTGATCTGGAGGGAAATCCTCTGTTCTGGTTCCAGTGATCTGGAGGGAACCCCTCTGTTCTGGTTCCAGTGATCTGGAGGGAAATCCTCTGTTCTGGTTACAGTGATCTGGAGGAAAATCCTCTGTTCTGGTTCCAGTGATCTGGAGGGAAATCCTCTGTTCTGGTTCCAGTGATCTAGAGGGAAATACTCTGTTCTGGTTCCAGTGATCTAGAGGGAAATCCTCTGTTCTGGTTACAGTGATCTGGAGGGAAATCTTCTGTTCTGGTTCCAGTGATCTGGAGGGAATCCCTCTGTTCTGGTTCCAGTGATCTGGAGGGAAATCCTCTGTTCTGGTTCCAGTGATCTGGAGGGAAATCCTCTGTTCTGGTTTTAGTGATCTAGAGGGAAATCCTCTGTTCTGGTTCCAGTGTTCTAAAGGGAAATCCTCTGTTCTGGTTCCAGTGATCTAGAGGATAATCCTCTGTTCTGGTTCCAGTGATCTAGAGGTAAATCCTCTGTTCTGGTTCCAGTGATCTAGAAGGAAATCCTCTGTTCTGGTTCCAGTGATCTAGAGGGAAATCCTCTGTTCTGGTTCCAGTGATCTAGTGGGAAAGCCTCTGTTCTGGTTCCAGTGATCTAGTGGGACATCCTCTGTTCTGGTTCCAGTGATCTAGAAGTAAATCCTCTGTTCTGGTTCCAGTGATCTAGAGGGAAATCCTCTGTTCTGGTTCTAGTGATCTAGAAGGAAATCCTCTGTTCTGGTTCCAGTGATCTAGAGGGAAATCCTCTGTTCTGGTTCCAGTGATCTAGAGGGAAATCCTCTGTTCTGGTTCCAGTGATCTAGAAGGAAATCCTCTGTTCTGGTTCCAGTGATCTAGAGGGAAATCCTCTGTTCTGGTTCCAGTGATCTAGAGGGAAATTCTCTGTTCTGGTTCCAGTGATTTAGAGGGAAATTCTCTGTTCTGGTTCCAGTGATTTAGAGGGAAATCCTCTGTTCTGGTTCTCGTGATCCAGAGGTAAATCCTCTGTTCTGGTTCCAGTGATCTGGATGGAAATCCTCTGTTCTGGTTCTCGTGATCTAGAGGGAAATCCTCTGTTCTGGTTCCAGTGATCTGGAGGGAACCCCTCTGTTCTGGTTCCAGTGATCTAGAGGGAAATCCTCTGTTCTGGTTCCAGTGATCTGGAGGGAAATCCTCTGTTCTGGTTCCAGTGATCTGGAGGGAACCCCTCTGTTCTGGTTCCAGTGATCTGGAGGGAAATCCTCTGTTCTGGTTACAGTGATCTGGAGGAAAATCCTCTGTTCTGGTTCCAGTGATCTGGAGGGAAATCCTCTGTTCTGGTTCCAGTGATCTAGAGGGAAATACTCTGTTCTGGTTCCAGTGATCTAGAGGGAAATCCTCTGTTCTGGTTACAGTGATCTGGAGGGAAATCTTCTGTTCTGGTTCCAGTGATCTGGAGGGAATCCCTCTGTTCTGGTTCCAGTGATCTGGAGGGAAATCCTCTGTTCTGGTTCCAGTGATCTGGAGGGAAATTCTCTGTTCTGGTTCCAGTGATCTGGAGGGAAATCCTCTGTTCTGGTTCCAATGATCTAGAGGGAAATACTCTGTTCTGGTTCCAGTGATCTAGAGGGAAATCCCCTGTTCTGGTTCTCGTGATCTAAAGGGAAATCCTCTGTTCTGGTTCGAGTGATCTAGAGGGAAATACTCTGTTCTGGTTACAGTGATCTAGAGGGAAATCCTCTGTTCTGGTTCCAGTGATCTAGAGGAAAATCCTCTGTTCTGGTTCCAGTGATCTGGAGGGAACCCCTCTGTTCTGGTTCCAGTGATCTGGAGGGAAATCCTCTGTTCTGGTTCCAGTGATCTAGACGGAAATCCTCTGTTCTGGTTCCAGTGATCTGGAGGGAAATCCTCTGTTCTGGTTCCAGTGATCTGGAGGGAAATCCTCTGTTCTGGTTCCAGTGATCTAGAGGGAAATACTCTGTTCTGGTTCCAGTGATCTAGAGGGAAATCCCCTGTTCTGGTTCTCGTGATCTAAAGGGAAATCCTCTGTTCTGGTTCGAGTGATCTAGAGGGAACCCCTCTGTTCTGGTTCCAGTGATCTGGAGGGAAATCCTCTGTTCTGGTTCCAGTGATCTAGAGGGAAATACTCTGTTCTGGTTCCAGTGATCTAGAGGGAAATCCTCTGTTCTGGTTACAGTGATCTGGAGGGAAATCCTCTGTTCTGGTTCCAGTGATCTAGAGGAAAATCCTCTGTTCTGGTTCCAGTGATCTAGAGGGAAATCCTCTGTTCTGGCGCCCGTGAAACCCAGGGGGAGGGGGCGTGGCTTCCTTCAGGTCTCGCATCCGGGCCCCGCACCCCACTCAGGGAAGTCGCCGCCGTCTCCCCTTGCTGAGGTAACAAACGCGTTCGGATTTACTTCGAGCGCGTGGTAAACCCCGAACCCGAGTGAGCGAGCGAGCGAGCGTCCCGGGTCCCGCGTTGAGCCCGGGTCCCCCGTGCCCTCCGCGGGTTCGGCGCCGCGGTCGCCGCGGTCGCCGCGGTCCCCTTGACCCCGTGGCCGAGCGCGGCTTGGCACAGCTCGGAGCCTACGGGCTTGCCTGTTGGGCCGGCCGGGACAGGCAGACCTTGGGCGGCCGAGCCGGGTGGGCGGGCATAGGTCGGGGTTAGGGTTATAATTTATTAAAATGTCAGCAGCAATAGCGTCATCGTCACCACCATCGTGTTCGTCACCATCTTCCTCATTATACTTGTCAACGTAATCACAATCATCGAGTGTTAAGCAGTTCCATAATTAGGCGTCATCGTCACCATCAGCTTCGTTACGCGCGTCATAATCTCCATCTCTTCACACTCGCGTAACCATCATAGACATCGTCAGTAACTTAAAAACCGTGATCTGTATCATCAATGTCATCCTCGCCATCATCGTTATAACTTGGCGATTCACGTCTTTAACGTCATACCCAACAGCGGCACAATTCTTATTCATTCGTCGTCAACTTCATGGTCAACTTCATGGTCACGGTCCCAGATCCTCGCCGTCCAGGCGGGCGGCAGCGCGAACTCGAGGGGGAGCCACGCGACATGCCGCTGGTGTATGCAGTCACAGGCGACGTTTCGGGCAATGTTACTCTTTCAGAATGTGTTTTATATTTGAGTTATCGGGCAGTGTTCATTACATGCGCACATATTACATCGTTGACTTGTTTCGCGTGTAAATGCGACCAGAAACCGTGGGCATATTCATTGTATGGAGAGCGAGAGAGAGAGAGAGACAGTCAGTAATAGGTAGAGGAGAATAGGGTGGTGTTGATCCTTAAGTTGAATCTGGGTAGGGGGTTGATAGCACGGACAGCAGAGGAATGGGACAGCAGATGAGAATCAGTGACCTGCTGCTCAAAAAACTTAGTAACTTACACTTTGCGAATGTTCGTGAGTTTAATGTATGCGTGCTTGTGCACCACAGTCAATGCAGTCCCGGTGTGTTTTTGTATCCTAAAGAAAGTGTTGAGGGAGAGACCCGGTAGCCCTGGTTACGTTATAAGAGTTACTCGTTAGCGAAGTGTGCAGCGTCAAAATAGCAATGTAGGCGCTGGTGAGTGTCATGCTTGTGCAATGACGACATTGGCACATGGTCGACCTCGCTCGAGCAGCGTCACTGAGTAACACACAGCACAGTCATTGGGGCAAGTTCGCCTTGGCTAAGGGGGTTGGTTGCTAGGGGTGT